CTCGGAGCGTCCTGTGAGCGAGTCCCCGGACTGCTGACGTCATGACACGACTGCCATAAATACCCCGATTTGAACGGCAACGGTCAGTCCGCTCTCCATTTTTCATTACCGTTCTGTAACGAGTTATGAGCGTGTTGTGAACGTGTTCAAACAGTGTGACCGTTTTCATAACGTATTCATACCGTCCTCATACCGTTCAACACCGTCCTCTTACCGCCTGCGGCCGGTGCCAGCCGGCCAAAGTTTTTAACATGCCCAAAACTTTCGCCGGGTCCCACCGGGTGTAAATAAGCGCCAACGCCCTATTAACGTGTTACCCGCTTTGATAACGAACCACCGTGTGCCCTCGCCGTTCTCCACCGTCCGCAGACATTTTCGCGCACGGTGGCACACGGTAGGCCTACATGGCAGAGTGTGAGAGTCACTTGAGGCATATATAAAAACTGTGTACTGTATTGTGTTTGTACAATTGAAATCATTTCTTACAAATGAAGTAGTAAACAGGCAGATTGCACCCAGGGTGGCCCACTCGGTTGGGTACAAAGTTCATGTTATTCACATATTATTCCACGTGTGCAAGGAGACAGGGAAAAATTATCGCTCATTTTCGGTAAAGTCAAAATGTGCATTGCTTGTCTGCCGCGCTCAAAGCAGTTTAATTGTATTAATTGTATGCTGATCATGTGACTAAAATATAAAGGAACTGTAGAAGCGTGTCGAATGGTGACAATGAACTGGTATTTCTCTTTTTCATGTAAAGCATATGCAAATAAAAAAATCTCTGCTTCTTTCTCTCTCTCTCTCTCTCTCTCTCTCTCTTCGTTTCTCTTCAACTTGATATTCCATGTGCACGTACAGTGGTTAGAGCAATCTTTAAACACAACTCGGCCATCTTGGTATTTACTTGGTGACAACATTAAACATATATTATTTTGGTTTTAGCTTCCCCTAAAGTAGCAGTATTTGCTATAGTAGGAGTGTCGTGGTCGAGTGGTTTAAGGCACTTGACTGGATATGCAAAGGTCGAAGGTTCGAATCCCGACACGGCACTAACATCCTTTGGTAAGATATTAACCTGCACTTGCTACTCTCCAGCCAGGTGTTAAATGGATACCCGGTCAAACAGTATTTGAGCGTCAAGTAACACCTGGCTGGAAATGCTCCCCAGTGAGTGGAGATTGTGCACACAGTGTATACGGAAAATCCAATGACCGGGGTAATAGGATATATGTAAAGTGCTTAGAAACAGTTGCATTAATTAAGATCTATATAAAAGCGGAATATCATTTTTATTATAGTGTGTCCAACTCGTTGCTCTCTACACATTAAGTCAGCAATACCTCTCCATGAGTGTTATCAGAGGTAGTTATCAATGGCTCTGTGAACGTTTTTTTAATAGCGCCACCTCTTTATTCATTGGGCAATATAGTAAATTGTAGTAAATTATTAAAGCTGTTATTGACCTAATGTATGAACCATGTATTTAATTTATGACTTAGTGCCGGTAAATTCCCAGATAAAATGAAATTAGCAAGAATAACCCAATTTCTTTTTCAAAAGTGGAGTAGAAACAAGTTAGCAATTAAAGACGTATCTCAATACTCTTTGTTTTTTCCAAGATTCTAGAACGTATCATTTACAACAAAACCTATACAAATTTGTCGTTTTGTAAATCAATTTGGCTCGTGGAAAGACTACTCAGCTCAACTCTCACTCTGAAGATAATTTATTTATTTAATTCATTCATGGCAACCAAAGGGTTGGATTGTATACATTTTCAACATGATTATGAACATTATTAAATTCAGTACAATGAAATTGATAAATTATAAATAGAAATACAATGTAGATCATTAATACGAAAAAAAAAAAACATTACAAATCATTCAGGTATATCATATTACAAATAAATCATTACAAGAAAAAGGGGGAAACAACATAAACTTGAATAGACAAGAACAGGGAGCAAGAGAGGGAAAAAGAAAAGAAAGTGAAGAAGTGAAAAAGCTGCAATGATCAATCAAGTTAACTCTACATCCATAATTCACTCGCTATCGGTGTATTCATTGATCTGTCAAAGGCCTTTGTTGACAGTTTCTAGCTACCTTAGTAATCGTCGTCAATGTATTATTTATAATTCTAAACTGTCTGACTTTATAGGAATTACTTGCGGGGTCCCCCCCCCCCCCATAGTTCATTGTGAGGCCCCTTACTTTTCATACTGTTTGTTTAATTATATTTTAATATCGATCATCCAACAAGAGAAAATAAAGGACACGGTGAAGTTACAATAGTACCTCAAAAAAGTTAAAGGTGTTTTTTTATTAAAAAATACATGTAAGCTTTAAGGTACAATGTCCCATTTGCAGGCCAAAAAAAATGAAAAGGTGAAATTTCAACGACATTTAAGGCTTGATAATGTCTTTAAGTGGGAGACTGACGACGGATAGTCAAACTGTTCGAAACGTCGAGCCACTCCCGACACTCATCCTCTCCAAGCGCTATAGATCTCCTTAGAACTATAAGCTAAGAAAGATAACCAACAGTATTTGTCAAGACTACACAAACAGTCCTTTTCAGGACTACACATCCTCAAGAAAGAATACCGAGAGTCCTTTTCAGGACTTCTCAATCCTCTCTCTCTCTCTCTCTCTCTCACATGGCGCACCTACTGTATAACTCAGTTATTGCCTTGTAATTTGTATATAAATGCTAATTTAAACAAGCTGTTTGTATTTACTTTCTCTTTTTTTCCCCCACTAAATATTTACAATTGTAAGTTATCTTTTGCTTTGTTTTTGTATCTCTCTTCACCGTTATGGTAGTACTTTATATTGTCTTAAATATTGCATCTACTGTCACGCTTTAAATTCTTAACCGTTAGTATCTGACAATATACTATTTGTAATGTAAGAAATAACAAGGCAGATTAGCCCTCTTATTCAACACAAGTAATTTTACAAAGTCTCCTTTTCTCCATCATTTATTAATTGAATAATATTTGCATACAAAATACATAATTGTATTGATTACAAAGAAAAACACATGAATCACACTTATATCACAAAATTCATTTTAAGTTTTTTGAACATAATCAACATTTTTTCCTAAAGTGTTACTTTTAAACATTTGCCCTCCATGAGATTTCCTTTCAATAGATTTCGAATATGTTGGCAAAATTGCATTTTCTATTTTGTGTAGGCAACTCTCGAGTCATGCCTTAGGTCGGTTAGTCAGTGGATGAATGATAACTTTCTGAAGTTAAATGAAGATAAAACTGAGTACATGTTGATTGGATCTGCCAGGCAGTTGAGTAAATTTTCTGCACAGAAGATCATGATTGGCAACTCAGAAATAAAATGTGTTAATCAGGTTCGTAATCTTGGAGTTTTGTTTGATGCTGGAATGACCGTGAAATCTCAGATTTCAAATGTTGTTAGTTCAGCATCATCATATCAATTCCTTTCATAGCAAAAGCGCTCCTCACAATTTCTGTAAATTTGGCAGTTTAACGCTACGCGTACCGCCTTGACCGGACTGTGCGGTATCTGTGCAGTTCTGTGTGTAGAGAGGTCGGGCTGTATTCATTATTTCTTGGGGGTGCATAAATTGCTCTAATTATACGTACGCGTGTAATGCGCAAGTTTATTGTGACGGCACTAAACCCATCCCACTCATTGTTCCCCTATTTTCATAATGGTACTGACCCAATGAAATGTAGTGCAGTGCGCTCGTACGCGCTGCGCTGCGTGTGTACATGTACTGTACTTATGCATGTTCAGTTATATGTGTATGCATAGCATTACGTACATGCATACAGGGCTAGCTGACACAAAACCCTGGGTCGGGCTTCTAAAATGGGACATGAAGCATGATTTGACATGAAAATTGACGGAGCTAAAAATGAATCAATCAAAATGAAATTTATATGTATGAAAAGCTTACGTATCATATGTCATTGTCTGTGATTGAGGATTTACAAATTTGACGCAAAACGCGTTGCTGCAAAGTTAAAGATTGGTTTATTGAAAGGCAATCGAGCACAGTGCGACCGATCCATTGACATTGTGTATGAGAGAGTAATTTTTTTAAAATGGATTGTAAAGTTCAACGTCAAAGTGACGGAGGTTTTTTTTCAAGTAAGGGCATGGTTTTACATGGAATGTAAAGGAAATGTTTCCTTCTTCTCATATCTCGATTGAGGATATTATTCTCAATTTCGATTTTTAATGGTAAAGAAAAGTGTAAAAAGATGTCGAGAATTTTACCATATGTCATGTAATATAAAATGCGCGCGGGTCGGTTGATCTCCCAAAAGGAGCGCGAAGGAATTGATATGTCCATGTTCACAATATTTGGAGGATCAGAAAATATCTGAATCAGAAAGCCACTGTGCAGATTGTTCATTCTTTTATTACATTTTGTTTGGATATGTGTAATTCATTGTATATTGGCCTTCCTCGAAATCAAATAACCCGTCTGCAAAGAGTTCAAAACATGGCAGCTCGGCTCGTCACTCTCCGCAGTAGATCAGACAATATGTCAGATATATTAAAATCTCTTCATTGGTTATCAGTCTCAAAAAGAATTATGTATAAGCTGTTACTCATTACTTGCAAAACACTTCTTCATTCTTCACCCCATTTCAGATTTTGAAACCGTACACCCCACAACGGAATTTACGTTCAGGTTCACAGCTCCAGTTATGTTCACCCAAAACCAATAACAAATGGGCGGACAGGGCTTTTGCTAACGTTGCACCCAAACTATGGAACACTTTACCATTAGAAATAAGACAATCATCATCAATTGAAATATTTAAGAAGAAACTTAAGCACCGATTGTTTATGTCGTATTTTTAATATTGTATAATTTGTTTATGTCGTAGTTTTAATATTGTATAATTATTTTGATGTTGTACAAGAGCGCCTTGAGCAGTCTTTTAGAATGGATATGTGCGCTTTATAAGTTGACATTATTATTATTATTATCATTAAGAAGCAAAAAATAATAAATAGATTTTTAAAAACTACATATTTTGAATTTAAATAATCACATTGCATGCCTACAATTATATCACTGTAATAATTTTGTTCATTATAAAACAAAAGTGTTGTTATTCTGGGAAATGTTGAGACTTTGTTCCAAAACATTTTGGATTATTCACAATCATAAAATAAATGATAATAATTTTCTGTGCAATTGCACTTCTAACAACAACATGATCAGATATTTTAAAACGATATAAGTATTCCTTCACGTGCGAATAACTTATAGACCAATTTGAATTTGAACTGTTTTAATAGTATTTCCTTGACGTATGTCCAATTTATTATCCATATATTCACCCGGGATGATATATATATATCCTACACAACTCAAGTTCGGATTACGTACTGTAATGCTCGCACATTTTAAAAAGTGACAGACAAGCTTATTGAAATGACCTGTAATTTAACAATTCAAAAGTAATTGCGATCGTTTTTTGTCTATATTCTTTAACATATCTCATAAAAAGTAGTACTAAAAAGGAAAAATTAGCCAATGATATATACATATTCCATGACTACGTTATCATTACTAACTTCGCTAATTCTTATTTTCTATATGAGAGATGAACTTGATATGTTCTTTGGATTTTTGTACTGCTGCATTTATGTCAGCCTTTATTTTTTAGTGTTGCGTTTTATAATCTGTAAATTTTAGACGTTGATTATAGGCAGTCCGGGTGCAGCATGGCGAGTATATGCTGGTAGTGGTAGGCACACTGCCGACGATACACACAACCCGCGAGGCCGACAGTCCAAGAGAGCGATGGTGCATCAGACTCACAGTCCAAGAGACCGACAGAATGATAACGAGATCCACAATCCTCGAGACCGAATATATTTTTCTGGTAACTCTGGGTCGTCCGAAAAGTTGTGAGAAATTGTAAAAGTCTGGAGGGAATCAAGGACTGTTGATTTCGTGGCAGTTGTTAGGCCGTCGTTCTCACACACCTTTAGATTAGCCTATACAGTAGGCCCACGAGACCTACATTTTGGTCTAGTCGGAGTTCGGTCTCTTGGCTCATAACCGACCCCGGGCTCTATCGATACAGTATATTCGCTATCAAATCCTCTGCCCCTGAAGCACTCAAGTAATCTTCTAGGTCTTGACAAGGACCACTGGTCCTGTTCTTCCAGGCCATGAGGATTTCCATCAAGGCCTTCCGGTAGTCCTTGCAATGTTTCACCAGGATGTTGTTGGCCTGGTTCGCCCCGATGCCTAATTTTAGGCTGAAGGATTCGAAGTTTTCATTTGGAAATTCCCGTGAGATCTTGTTCAGTTGCTCCTGGGAGACGTAATGGTTGATTCTGTTTCCTTTGCTACTGTTATTTGAAGAAAAGAAGAAAAATGGTTTGAATGCAGGAAGGCGGAAAGACTGGCGAATAAGACACTGAGAAGTAAGCAAATTATCAAGAATACACCCAGGTGTCAAATGGGTACCCGGTAGGATGCGAAAGCTAATGTGCTTAGATTAGTGAGTGTGCGCTTGTAAAAGTGACGCCAGGCTGGAATGCTCCCCCAAGGAGTGGAGAATGTGCCTAAATTGTGTGCGGCAAAGCCTGAATCCGATGACCGGGGCAATAATACGATTGCAGGGCCCTCAAGGAGAACAATATGAATACTGATGAGGCTACCTTGGATTAACAAGACATATTATTATTATTATCATCATTAATAGAGAAAGCACTAAAAGTATTTACCATTCAAACTCTTTATATAAATACGTAGGCCCTAACCAAATTTGTATATGGAAATTAGTGTAGTGTTTCTAGAAATATTTTCATGACTTTTTGTCGAGCACTATTCAATAGGGAAGTCAAACCAATGCAGAAATTTAAATAAATAGGGAAATGGTATGAAAGGAAAAACAAAACAAAACTAAACATGAACAAAATAAACAAATTAAATGAAGAAGAACACATCTTTTTCTGAATCGTAAAAGTAGCCAAGCTATTCCATTTGGAAATAACTTTTTTTTCAAAGGAGAAGTTTAGGTGTATTCATAAAACTGATTTAGTACCGTATCCATACCTTCTAACAGGTTCTGCCTGGTTCGAAGCACTGTTACTCTCCCCCAAAGGTTGTTCCGACCCATCTGCTAAAAATTCAAGAGGATGAGAAAAGTAACTCTTCAAAGTAAAAAAAGAAATACACATAATTCTTCCTAGTGCATGGAGCCTGGCCGGTTATCACTTAATAGGCCAACGATGAAGTTTGAAACCTGTTCGTTGTAAAGCACATAGTTTTTAACCCAAAATATCCACAGATATCTTTTACATGGTGTAGTCCCAGTTTATGCATTTAGAGCAATCACTGCCCAAAGCATGGATGTGCTAAAAATGTATTACAAATAAAATGTTAAACAGACCCGAAAGAGTAAACTCGAAAGGTACGACAAATAAACCCTAATGTATGTACCATGAAAATGTTGTTCGGAATAAGTAAATAAACATGTCACTGTAACATCCGCACATTACAAAAGGTGACGTACGTACAAGGTGTTTTTCGGGAATATTTAGCTTAATGGGTGTTATAAATTATTCCATATGATATTCATCTTCGTAGTGGATCTCTTAAAACATTTGTTTTTAAGAAAGAGGAAACTATTGTTCCACGTGCTCTTCTTTAAGAATTAATTAGGCACCCGATAATCTTGTTCAAATGTTTCCCAAGATTGTTTGGAGAAAAAACAACTTGTAAGTTAGACAATGTAGCTAAAATTATCATTAAACGATAGCAACTGTTTTCACAATATCAACTGAAGGGTAATTTCAATACCTTATTGAATGCCCCATATAGCAATCATGTTCTGGTTTCGTAACACCTCATCATCGTGTTAGCACTTGTTAATAGGTGCTGCACAAGGCGATTGAATTCGCCGAAGGTTGATCTTAAGAAACGATCTGCTATCACTATTTTTTTTCGATGAGAACGTACAATACCATGATGATATTGTATGTACTCATCGAATAAATAGTATGATGGTTGGTGTAAATTGAATGTTTTAAACTTTTTCCACTACTATCTTATTATCAGTTTCACTTACCTACATCTCGTACAAGCAGATATTCTTCGACTACTTCCACTAATCCCACCTTTTCAAGTGCTTTGGACAACACCCTGACTTGATCTTCTCGCCTCGTTGTCTCCTTCCAGGTAAATATCATCGAGATAGTCCCAGACGAGGTGACCTCCCCTCCGCTGTGATTGGTCGCTTTAAAATTCACGAAATCGGCGTAGCTGAAGTCCAACTCCAGTACGAGTGCTAGGAGCTTTTCATTGTTCGAGATGGCCTTGGCGATGGCCAGGAGTGTCTTGTCGGGGATCCCGTCCATCGCGCGTAACATTTACTGCAAGAAAATTACAATGATGGGAGCAATTTCAAAGAGAGAAATGTATTGAATGTAGGAATACTCAAATCGTCATTCTGTAGTGTCGTGATATGGCACCGTAATAACAATAATGTAGCATTTATGGTTAAGTGGTGAGGCACACAATCACTCGGAAGTGAGTCACTGCATGGTCCTGTTCATTGGAATTTGAGTCATACGTATCGCCGAGTGGCATGTCCAGGGGGCCTCCCTCAAATTACTTCAGGGTCCAGACAACAATATGGGTAAAACTTAACTGGCACATGTCGTTTATAGTTTACCTGAAAAGTAAATCGAACAATTCCTCTCGTTTGAGAATCAATTAGAGCCTTCATTTCACCACTGTACTGCTTAAATGTTTCTAATCATGTTCCACTGTTTGTGTGAAGTAGCTATCCCGTTTTCCGGTGCGTTAAGATATAAATGGCATACTAATTTTTGTTACCACGCACCCCGGAAGAAGTCGACCGGATAGCATACGATGAGCGGAACTAGAGGTCGGGGAAGTGGCCAAGTCGAGCATACGTCACGCTTTATGGATTTTCAACATAATGTGTATACAAAGTCAACATAATTGTGTCTACCTTTTTTTTGTATGATTTACAAAGATTTGTTATCAATTTGGTGGAGATTAGACTTGTATCTGCTGGATAACAGGGTGAAATGTAAGCACATAATTAACAAATCCTATTAAGAAAGTGTGCAAAACACGAAAAACCGACATTCTTACATATCTTCAAATAAGTGGCAAAAAACAATGTCTAAATGAGTTCTTTTCTTGGGAACATCCTTTTTTCTGATAAAATGGATCCCAATGAACAAATTGACACCTAAGAAGTAGGATCATAGGGGGGTGCACGGTAGCCCCCTCTGGCCCACGGACTATAATGTATGTGGTGAGGCCTTTCTCGGTAACCAATTTCCCCGACTCGTGGTGGATATTTAACCTGACTGCTAAAAAAGCATAAATGCTTGTTAGTAAGCAACCAGAAAACCGACGGCTTTGAGTCCTCTCCGAGAGACCTGGTAATGAGGATTAATGTCTTATCAAAGGGCACTAGCGCATCGACTCGGTTTCGAACCCGGGTCGTCGGATTACGAGACCACTGCTTTATACCAGGGAGGTGAAAGAAAAGGAGGCGAAACTCTTGTAATTTATTCAAACGCATTCTTGAGTTATAAAGCGTAACAATGGGATGTGTAACATTCCACTTGGCTTTGAAGTTCCATGCTCCGAACCGCGCTTCCACTGCGGGGACTTTCGGAAGCCAGGCACCAGTTTTACATTTATTACAAAATATTAAATTACCGGCAAAATTTCAGTGTAAATCAAAAACTTTATATGGGGATTTTATTGGGAATAGTGCATCAAACAAATTTTCAAATTTAGAACTCCGTCCTTCCTTTAATTTGTGTGCCAGAGTTGGTAAAAGAAAAATTACATCCTGTCAAAAACTCAATATTTTAGGATGATGCGCTAATTTGTGCATGCTTTAATGTCCCGTTATTTGATCCATGATTTACAATCTTCAATAACATTAAGTTTGCTAATGCGTGTTTTCGCGTGTTTTTTGTATTTTTCAAGTTTAAAAAAGGATGAAAGTACACAAGTTTGTGTTCGCTTATTCTACTCTTTACACATTCAACAATGGATGAGAAATCATTGGAAGGGACAGCGAACAGTTGCAGTGATACCATTTTCTGATGTAGGAATTCTAAATCCTGAAATTTCATGCGCTCTTTTATCTCACCACCTGGTCAACAGTTGCAGATTATAGCGCATAACTTTTCGGTGGCTTGGAGCATGGGGTCAAAGGAGAGCGGCTTGATTCCAATCCTTCTCTATCACGTCCCTGTTTATACCAACTGAGCCTCTGCTCATGCTACCTTCAATTCCGCACTTTATATTTATGTGTGCTTTATCAAATACCCGACCCCTACTCCATAAGTGATTATCTTCTAGGATCATGCTGCATGCTTTGTAACCTTTCATTCCATGAACTTGAACATAGCATGCTAGCTTTCAAGTTCAAGTCCTTCCCACCAATGTTCGCTCATTTAATTAATGCAGCATTCAACTACATATAGACTGAAAATCAATTTCACCAGCTTCGAAAATAAGGAGCACAAGAAATATTTTATTTGGTTTAGGGTTATTATCTTGCCATTTGATTTCTCATTATAATTAATGGGTATTGCATGTAAAGATAATATGTAGAGTTTATATAATGAATCGATCAAAGAGCTTTTAAGGTAGCCTACTTGACAAACATTTATGTTTACAAATTTTCTCCATCAAATTAAGTATACGCTATAGATCAGTCAAATCGTGAAACATCTAACTGACAAAAACACATGATTTGTTTGTACCTAGAATTATTTTCTTTCAAAGATTGCATGACCACAAAAAAGTGCTACAAACCATGTGATACCAAGTACAGTATTTACATTTATCCCTTTTTAACGGGCCAAGGAAACGGATGTCGTAAACGTAATTATAGCGAAGTCTGATAATATAAAATATCATGTATCCGATATCAATTATTTTACCACAACAATAACTAATCAAATGAAATCTATTTTCTTTTCATTATGTAATTTCATATTATTTTATTTTGTTAATGTACCTTCCGTTTCACTTGAAAAGTATGTGGTTTAATCTAATGCTCAGAAAGCTAAAAATATATGATCCACATGAATCTCTTTGTGTCCAAGTTCTCTCATGTGATGGAACATTTAGCCATTATTTTGATGGCGGGAGAAACATTTATGATCGTCATCACTACCTTCACTAAAAGCTGATATACATTCATGTGTATCTGTTGAAATCGTTGAGAAAACACAGCCCTTGGCCAAATTATACATCAGGGAAACAGATTTGCAAATTAGCTTTCTTTTTTTAACAAAACAAAAATAGAGTCATTATAAACTAAACATGTCAAATACCAAGTTATCAGGAACAAATATCACAACTTATTTAGAGTTATAAAGCATACCCCTGTGAAATTACTGGTATCAAATTAAGTTTACTAGTGGCTTAGTGTTACCTTATCAATATAAATTGATAGAAAATATTTCCACCTCTTATCGCCTAACCACCCACTTGTCAAATATATGTTTTAAATAAGTTATTCTTACACCAAGAGGATCTACAGTTCGATATTGGGGATAATGATGGGGAAGATATGCAAGTGAGTACATGCATATGCTCGCTAATACTCTAAGAATTATTTCAGGATGATCCATGTCAGTGACCTCTTTCCAGTCTTTCATGAACATCCATAATTATACGAATGTTGTTTCAACTAAGATAAACGAAATTAGACATGATTCATTTAAGAAAAAGGACAGCAAAAAGCAAACTCCTGCAGACTCCTTACTATAAAGATAATCACTGTAATTGATCTGTGTTATTCTAGATGATGAAGATATCATATCAGAGTTCATAAAATCTATTACTCGCTATCACACGACATCTCATTCCTAGTTTAATTTTCGAATGACTCCTCATTTCGTCAAAATTGAAGCTCTTTTTAATACAAATATTCCAAAATAAAGAAGTACTTTCACATTGCCATTAAAACAACCCTTTTAGGAGGGATATTTTATTATTCGCGTATTTCCATCCCTTGAAGAATTTTGATATTCACTTTTAAACCAGCCAGTGAAATATTTCAATTTGTCAAATTTATCAGGTTTTCATGTAATCTATGTTTATTATGAGATGATTTTTTTAATGACGATATTATAGCCGTAATCATGACATGTATTCTATAACATGATTAAAATGGACTTTATCCTCCATTTCAATGAATTTTCTAAGCAGTCTAATCGCTTTCTGGCTTGTAATTATTACACAAAACGTACAATTTTCCCTTGGTATGTTCAGCTGGGGTAAACGTTTTTTAGCGCTTAATTAAATGTTAGGCTTTTTAATAGACTGTGTTAATTTGAATTATAAAGACATACAGTATTGTATATATATTTATATATGTATAGGCCTTCATGTTTTATTTCCAGTATTGCTATTTTATATATTTGTATACATTCTCAAACCTACAATTTACAACTACACCTGTAAATATGTAAATACCAATTAGACAATTCATTATTTTCCGAAAGAACTATAAAGTCAAATTGGAACTGATGTGATAAGAATATCAGATTGTTGTACCAAACCAAGAAATACATGGGGCTCACATCAAGTTTGATTCGGCGCGCTGTCAATATGACTATTCATAAATATCGTGACGTATATTTTGACTAGGCCACGCCCCCTACCTCTAGCTCAGTTCATCGTGTATGTTCCCATTTATTCACATAGCAAATAGTTTTGACTCAAATCTACACTTGCATGCCGCAAAATCCCACTTACCGGTATATTCATGCACAATAAACTCGGTTCATACACGTCATATTTATATCTACCACAGCGATATTCGAAGGTGCAGGTCAGATATCCGGATCGAGAAATCCCGTTGTAAACCAGACACGGCCACGACCCACGGGAGACAGTATGGATTATTCCTCAACGTAACACTGATATATTATTGCTACTTGAAACTATATAATATCCATGCAGATAACAACAAAGGTAAGCACATGTATTTTACACACGTAACATGAAGCTAGCACATAGTAGTAGCAGTACAACTATACTCACGAATATAATAATTACCCACCTAGTCGACTGGGCGTGTAATTTTGTATGCACTACTACTACGGTACTACATGCATGACATCGAGAGCCAGTTCAAGTTCAAGTTCATTTATTCAGCTAGAGAGGAGGTCATTTGTAAGTTATAACAGTGTTTGAATATGAATAGCCGTAATGAATATATAATGATGTTTACCGTACTCTGACCCTTCCATAGGGCAAATGCACGTTATTCACCGATCATATGAACTCCGCTTGTAGAATTGATACTATTACTTGCAATTCCCTATGATAAAGCAAGATCATACAAACGGAAGTGCGACATCCGTTTTAAGTACATGGGACTGAAGTCAAGTGGTAGTGTAGCCTGCAGCTGCAGTGGTCGCGAACTGTGCTGCTTGACACCGTTTGACGATTGTAAATGGTTGAGTGCGTGTAGGAGAATTATGCACTGAATAAATAACTACATTGTAATAATATTTGTTCACAATATGACTGCTTTGATAATGGAAATCTGGGAGAGATCACGCGGGAATCAATCGGGCCTCGTATATCATTATGTAGGACGTCGTCTCGGTTTCCAAAGTGTGTGTACATACAATGTATACCGTCGGTAGTATTTGAAAGTGCGTGTATATGTCCAATTTTGACTACTCTAAATTGTAATTGCTCCATTCTGTTAAGGGCAACAGAGGGGATGATGATGAACAGCATTTGTATGGCGTCATATATCTGTTTCAAAAAACATTCAAAGGCTCTGCTTTTACCACGCTCTCCTCGTCTTTTTTCTTTCAAGTTAACTTTGTTTTTATCATTGCCATAATTTGTTTTCTTTTGCATTGTAAATTTATGTGTCATGATCTAATGTAATGCTCTAGAAAGACGAATCAATTTCTTATCTTATCTTACAAATTGGTATTAGTGCGCAAATGTTTTTGCAATTATGACCCAAATACCCTCATTTTACTTTGAGTCAACAGTTCGTTTGGAGCATTGTGACTCGAGCTTTTGGGGGAATTTCAGTAACGTCCCCCCCCCCCCCCCCCCCCATTTCAGCCATAACTGATCATTGAAAGGTTAATTATTAAGTTATCCGTCGGATAAATCAAATATAGATTTTATCTCATATATATATTTGTGTGTTAGATCGGTTGAAATTTATCAAACATAAATCCACGAATCATCAAGGGTCTGTTAATTATCCTGTATCTATTTTATTTGATAATATTGATTTATAAAAGTACCTGTTTAATATTGGGTTTAGACACATAATGCTAAAACTGGAAAGTAAATAACTCTAATAAAGGTCAGAGATCCGTTAGACAGTCTGCAGGCACATAAGCCAGCAAACAAATTTGTACAGCTCTAAACCAAGCCTAACTCTGTCTTGCAATCTCTGCTAAAATGTTAATTTGTATTTATGTCATGAAAATATATAACTTTATCCTAAGAGCTTGTAAGTTGTAATTCAGGATATCAACATTAAACTTAGTGGCAATAAAATTCATCCTGACTGATTGCCAAATTAAAACAAATGCAACAACACGGTCGTGTCGGTAGCAGCTACAGCAGAGTTTTAAAATCTGTCAACACTTAAATGTAAGGAATGGTATATAGAGCCAATATTCATTGCTTTGTGACGATTTACATTCACCTGTAATTTAATCAAATGATAATAATATGATTGGGAGAAATTAATTTCAATTAATTGTACATCTATCATTGAAATCCCTTCCTTGGCAGCATTTCCTCTCATCTAAACAACTTTACAAATTACCTTTGAAGGAACATAACTATGTTCCATTTGCAGGCCAAACAAATGAAAAGGTTACAGTCTAACGGCATTTGAAAGATAATACTAACGTAAAACTTCCCTCAAAACAAAAGAGCTTGAGATTGTATTTTTGTGGGAAAATAGCGACCTTAGTTCCTGAATCGAACTTAGCGATCGCGGTCGTTAACACGTAACTCACTTAATAACCAAGTATATAACAGGTAATGTATAAGGTTTAATTGCAGTTCCAACGAGTTCAGCATGTTTAACATAGAATGTATCCTGCTCTTTTTAATCCTTACGTTCAATAACCAAGCAATTCCAAATTACTTTTGCATCCCCACAATATAATAAGGCAAGTTAAAGGTCGGGTGAAATCCAAATATAAGTTGATTCCTGTTAATTTGCAGGGCTGCATACAACTCATATTTTGTTATTCAAACATCTTGATATATTTCAAACATTTTAAAACATTTTTTTTAAAGAATTTTCTCGAACCTCCTAAGCTCAACCCTAAACAAAATTGCTCCAGATGTCATTCATCTTGTGACATCATCTGTCAATCATTAGTAAGCTAACGAGAGACAGTGGTATGTAACTTTCCCTAGCTCAGCACATGCTCACATGCTCATACAATAAATCCACATTATACCTTTCTTTTCCTGGCTATGCTACAACACGTCTGACATAGCAACCTATCTGGTATTGTATGGTTTATTGTAAACTAGTGTGCAGCTCTGGTGAAGTTTGTTAGCTCACTAATGATTGACAGATGATGTCACAAGATAAATGAGATCTGGAGCATTTTTTAGGGTGGAGCTTAGCAGGTCTGAGAATGTAGATTTTATTTTAAACTTATGTTTATTTTGCGCTATATAAATATTGTATTATTATTATTATTATTATTATTATTTAAAATTTAAAAATCTATGAAATAAATTTAGATTAAAAAAATAAATATTAAACAAATTATGAGTTGTATGCAGCCCTGCACATCAACAGGAATCAACTTATACAGTATTTGGATTTCACCCGACCTTTAACTTGACTTATTATATTTTGCGGATGCAAAAGTAATTTGGAATTGCTTGGTTATTAAACGTAAACATTATACTTAGCAGGATATATATGCTATGCTAAACCTTTAGATGAAAGGATAATTGAGTGCAAAACTCATCAATTCGGTATACTGTTTACTAACAAATATACCGACGACATATGTATCTCAACACTAAAGTTACTCACCATTAACAAACTTGTCCAAACATTTGGGTGTATATTCACAGTCACAAAGTTGGGAACGTATCTCATTAATAAAGGTCCATTTATTCCCGAAATGGAATATACTAGTATCTAGAGCTAGGGTGATACCTAAAATTCATGATAACAACCACATGTACAGCTAATAATTTTAGAAACGAGAATAAGCTTACCTAGAATAATAGAAAAGCAGAAGAAAGCAGTCGCTTGTGACGGTGAAGATGTTGTTCACGTGTAGAATGACTCACGGCATCTGGCATCATCATCACTCTCTTCCTTTGTCCATAAAAAAGAGGGGGTTTCCCGTTTTCCGTGGGTGGCTTAGCCGTGTCTCGCATGTGACGTCACGAATCTTGACGCTCTGCGGAGGACCGCTGAAGGCAGAAAATCTGGATCTCAACATTTTTGAGAGATGATTATATAAGCCTGTAAGGCTTCCCCTTCGCAATGATATGAATTTTAAAACACTCTTTCATCAGATGTATAATAACTTATTGTTCATAAATGATTTTTGAAATAATTTTCTAGGTGTAAACTAAGGTCTAATAATCATTTAATGATTATCATTATTTATAATTTCATTATAATTAGACCATATGAGACCAATTGGGTAGTAGACAAACTGGTACGTTGTAGACCAAGCAGCAATAAGGACTTTTAGATTTGCGTGGACTGATACGTGTGACGTCCATTCAAGGCAGTGCATTAAAGGACGTCGGTCGTAGCAATCCCCATTGTTTTCGTGCGAATCTAAAAGCCCCTAATAAACCCTTGCTGCATGGTTGTTCACTAAACATCCGCGAATAGAGTTCTTATGTTTCCTCCTTTTTGAATGACCTATTTTGAAATTATGAAAGTGTTATATTAGGTCTTTGGTACCACGCGCATTTCCAAATAATTGTAAGGTTGTTATGTATTCCTAGTATAGTTACGTTGTTCATGGGTTTATTGCCCTACTATACATACAACACAGAGCTACGTGCACATCCACCGTTCGCTACACCAACACACTCGCGCGCACAATACACTCACAAACTCATACACAAATATCGTATTATGAACGAATAATGTTTATTTGAAATTTCGCGTTAAGATTTTTCCTTTGAGGCCACCATCCTAGGCAAGCATCGCTTATGATTGCGGTCTCCTGCAATTTTTTAACAGATAAATCGGATAATACTTAAAATTTATAATAGTATGTCATATAAATATTAATTTCGTTAATATATATATATATATATGTAACAACATTTCGACATAAAGATGTTACTGTTTGTATATTTTGTATTATTCTTTACGTTTTTATGTTGTTTGTTATTCACTTATTTCGCAGGAATCGTTCGAGAGCCAACAAACGAAACAAGTAAGCCACTCGTTTATGCATTCTCCCTGCAAGATTCTTTCAAAAAGTCAGTTGATAAGAAAGGGGTTAAAGTAGAGATAATTAATGAAGATTGATTTGAGTGATCACTTCTAATTTTGAAGTCCATCACGTTTTTCCAATTGCCTATTGAAAACTATGTTGTTGTTTACAAGTCTATAAATTATAAGTCTCTCTTCTGAATCACTGCAATTTCTACTATTAAGTCGATACTAACGTGATACTTTTTATGTTTCTCTAATTCACTTTTGAAAATATTATTTTGCTAAACTCAGCATGTATTTATCTGATTGAACTTTCGATTGTAGTTTAGGCTTACACTCAATGTACATTATCTGCATTTACATTTATTATATTAAAGCGCAATGATGACAAGTTCAAAGACTGGATAGAATATCATGGCTGGTTACCAGTAGAAATGTTGACGTAAAAACAGTAGATCATACATTAGGAAACAGGTAGAGGTGCTGTGGTCGAGTGGATAGATCACCGGACTGTACATCACAAGGTACAGGGTTCAATTCCCAGTCTTCACTAACGTCCTTTGGCAAGACGTTAATCTACATTTGCCACTCTATACACCCAAAATGTTAAATGGATACCCGGTAGGATGCGAAAGTTAAAGTAGTTTGCTCAGCATTATGAGCGTCTGTAAAATAGCGCCAGGCTGGAATGCTCCACAGGGAGTGGAGTGTGCATACATTGTGTGCGCGCAGGCCATACTCCGATGACCGGTATAACAATATATATGTAAAGTGCTTAGAGACATCGTCGATTATGTGCTATATAAACGCGGAATATCATTATTTATTATTATTCTCCAAACTTCACACTTCATTCGCTATGTTGTGCAGGATGGCTGGCCCAGCAGAACAGGATTTTGACGAGATCTTGAACAGGGTAGCAGAAGATGTCACCAATGAAAGCCACATCGGAAACCTTGGGAAAGCACTCGGATTCCGACAAGGTCCCGTCAGCAACTACATCAAAAGCAACTTCCGGTTCGGCAGCGTCACAAGCCAGGGTACTTTGCAAATGCTTCGAGACTGGAATCAACGGACCGGGAGAACCGGGCAGGGCGAGATGCTAAGAGAGGCCCTCATCAAAGCTAACCTGCAGACAGTGGCTGATGACCATTTACTGACATGTAAGTCGGTTGGATTCTATGTTAATTCTTTAACTACTGAAGTTTAAAAGTGCCAACGAGATGGTGAGGTAATTTAGGACAGGAAGACATAAATTTAAAAGACTAGAAGACGAGTTGTTTGTGTTTAGGATAAAAACATGAGATGAGGAACAACTCGGCAAGTCGACTTGTTAAGGACCAGAAGACGAGGCGTCGGTTTGTTGGAACTCGGCGAATCTATTTCTGTTAGATCTGGGGGTGTTTCACAAAGATCTGGGGGTGTTTCACAAAGATCTGGGGGTGTTTCACAAAGATCCTAAGTTGAACTTATCTCTTAGTTGGACTTAACAATTATGGAAAGCTGTTAGCATCTTTGAAAATATTTTGTAAAAGTTATTCTAAAAGGCGTAACATGTTTCAAATCATTCATATTTTCTCTTATTAAGGAGATTTCATGTTCTTGATGTGGAATTTATGAAAAGTCTTGAAATACTTGAATATTTGCATTTGAACATATTTTATTTTAAGGCTGCAAATAGCCCTCCATACTGTTTAAGTTCAACCTAGAGTTAAGTTCGACTTAGGATCTTTGTGAAACAACCCCTGGAAGCTTAAAAGTGTCCCCAGAAGACGAGATAAATCAGGTTTAGATGACGAGAAAGCTAGACGAAAAGACAGGAAAATGATTCAAGAAGACAAAAAGACAAGATTAGAAGATAAAAAGACGAGGTCTTGGATCTCGTTAAATCGACTTTATCAGGATGAGAAGAGGAGAACATAAGATCCTTGATTTCGCCAAGATGACTTGATTTGGACGAGAGGACTAGGTCTAGTATCTCGTCTCGATCCTATAGTCAAGTCGACTAGGCGAGATAGTGAATTTTGTCTCCTTGTTTTTCTTGGCGAATTCATGTCGACTTGATTAGATCTAGCATAGGCAAAATCTATCTTCACATCTTCTTGTCCTAATCAAGTCGACTTGACAAGCTCCAGTATCTTTATTATTCGTCTTCTCTTCCTCGTCAAGTCGACTAGGCAATATCCATGTCTTGTTTTCTCGTCAAAATCAAGTCGACTTGGCGAGATCCAGTGTCTCGACTTCTCGTATTCTGGTCCTAACCAAGCCGACTTGACGAGATAAAATGTCTAATCTGTTCATCTTCTCAGACAAATCATGTCGATTTGATGAGATTCAGAGATCTCATCTTTTTGTCTTCTCGTCTCGTCTTCCGGTCATCTCATCCTGATTTATCACGTCTTCTGGGGGCACATTTAAGCTTCCGTAAAGTTTTCTCGTTTTTTTACTTGTCTTCTCGTGTGCTTGTCCCAACTAATCTTGTCATCTCGTCGGCATTTTTAACCTCTTCTAGTTATTTGATCAGAATATTCTGCTTTGTGCACACGAGATGTCCTTTCAATTGCGTTTTTACCTTAATAGCTCATGAAGCCCGTGAAGGGAATTCGTCGGTTGACCGCAATAAAGCCGCATGAGCTATATATCGTTTTTGACAGTAACGCCCTTCATGCAGGCAGCAGACGAAGGCGCCTCATACACCAGTGATGTGACACGGCGTCTTCCTACTGTTCATTTATGTTAAATGTCAATAGCACATTAGGTATTATATACCTCACTTAAGAAATCCAGCCATCTGATTGGTCGAATTGCATTCATAAACTTCAACTGTTCCTGTAAAATTCTCGGTAACCATGCTTAAAACATTTCAATATTTTTAATAACCATGGTTATTAAAAATAGTTGGTCAGCCTCCATGGTTACCCCATAGGTTTACATGTTAAAAATGGTTTGAGCGATGGAGGATGCCGTATGTGTGCGAAGGATTGGTCGGTAATTTCAATACAATTGAATCTCGATCGATCTTACCGACAATTTTATCTTGCATTGTTGACATGAAGACGAAAATAAACTTCCAAAAACAAAAAACAAAACATCTGCCGATAGATCTTGATCTAAGTTCGTGCCAATATGCATTGCAAAAGTAAAAGAAGAGTCCGTATATGGAGCTTTTGCGAAGCATTCATCACACGCGAAGCCGGTTTCAATCCATTTTAATGTATATATTGGAGAAAACTGCCAAGCATGTTAACGGCTTTGGGTCTAAGCGTTGGTTTTCGGTACACCTCTTGTTGTACGCAAGAGTTCGAATCCCGTCTTCGACAAAAATGATAAATATTTTTAATTTTTCATTTTTTAGTCTATTTTTTTTCGGCATATAAAAGTATTAATGACTGCTTTAATATTCGAGAAATAGTTGTTTTCATACGCTCTCGGGAAGGTTACAATTGGGCTATTCCCCTCGGCAAGCCTCGGGGAATAGCACAATTCTAACCTTCCCTTGAGCGTAATAAAACAACTATTTCTCTCAAAGCAGTCATTAATACTATATTATTTCATGACGCAGAAGTGTACCAGTGAAGAGTGCGAGAGTGATGTTGATGAATAATTTTTTTTGAAAATGTAAATATTTCTGTGAATTATTGTTATTTTGTAGTTTGAGTGTAAAAGTGGACATATTGCTTTGATTTTTGTTTTCAAAGTGTATATTCATGTGTGGTTCTAATGATGGAGGGGGGACTCAAGTCCCCTGCCCCCTTAACTAAATTTCTAAAATCCCCATATTCATTTTACCTGTCACTTAACTGTTTTTCCTTACCCAGTTGGCCTCTGTGCGCCGCAGACACTTCAGTCAACTCAGCCTCAGTAAGTTTCACTTTTTACCATATTAAAATGATCTTGATTTTTACGAAGAAATTGTAATTGTTGAGAAGCGAGTGACATATCACTCCGAATTGTTTATTTATTTCTTTATTTTATTTCTGACCTTTAAGCAGGGTAGAACATTTTCACAAAAAGTGGTGGTCTTCGTCAGCCCTGTTTGGTAACATATAGGCAGTAACAATCATGAATTGCTATAACAGTGACAGAAGAAGAATATATGCAGAAAAATATAAATATATGCATATATACACAAACTGTTCGGTCATCAAGTGTCATCGAATTATGACATGAAACGGCACATGGGAACTGCCGATTACATGTCTTTATTAAAACAGTACGACTTCTAACAAAAACAAAAAAACATAATTGTCTTGAATTAATAAAGTTCCCTTTCTCTCTCTTTTCTCCTGTGTTTTAATATACTTTCCAGACCTGACCCTAATCTATTCGTGACGGAAAATCAAATTATGCACATTGCTAGGAACCTGCTAAGTGACTTCTATTCGCCTTTAGCCAATGCCCTTGGCTTCCAATATGCCGAGTACGAAAATATAAAACGGAAGCATCTACTAGACATAAAGGAGTCCACGTTAGAGATCCTACACATATGGAAGCAGCGAAGTGGTGGTGAACATGTAGTCCTTGAGGGCGCACTTCGACAGGCAGAATGTGGACGATTAGCATTCACATACAAGGAAGCATAGCACGATCACCAAGACTGTCAAGATAGTAACTCAAGACAGTTTGCAAACACGCTCGCAACGATTTTCAGAAAATAAACTGAATCAATTTCATTAGCCTTGTCTATTACCTTTTAAACAAGCGAACATTGCGACGACGTATGACGTAATCCAAGCATGAAGGGATATGAAAAGGTTATAATTGAAATTGACTTTGAGTTGATATTTCGAAAGAACAGCAGTTGCGATCGTGTTTTTAATACGTGTACATGTACTTATTATGATGGCTTATCCAAATCACATCTGGGCTCTTACTTCAGTCACACCGCCAAACTGACTCCACGCCGACTCCACACCGACTTCCCGCCGACTCCACGCCGACCCCACGCCGACTCCACGCCGACCCCACGCCGACCCCACGCCGACTCCACGCCGACTCCACACCGACTCCACTCCGACTCCACGCCGACTTCGGTTTATAGACGCGCTGTGACTTAGGTACCAGTGATATGCGATTGTTCTGTTAGGACATTATTGACAATAGATGACCCACAAGGCTATTGAAATTACCTGAGGTTGATTTTTCGAAAGGCTGTGCGATGCTGTTGCATGAAGTTCATATATTAAGGTTTTGAAAACTGAGTGGTAACTTTGGGGGCGAATCATCGACATTATCCCGAGAACTTTTCGCTGTTAATTAAACAAAAAAACTATTTTCATCGCTACTAGAAGAGGTCTGAACCGACGCATTTGCGACCGACATGTCTTCTGTAATGAACTTCGCACTCCACTAATTGCCCAAGGAAAGCTCATCAAAATGATACCGAAGACTTTCCGAGAGACTGTTGTGGATGCTCAAGTGATGGCTTGGTTGTACATCTAATTTGACTGATGTATTTATGTATGTTTGTTTGTTTGTTTTATGTGTTTTGTTGTTCCACATTCCATTCCACATGACAAGATTGTCTCATGCATGAGGTTTGAAAAAGGAATGCATCATTAAAAAACAATGATAATGGCGGATGATAATGTCCGTGGCCTTTAATGATATTAGAATAATTGTCTTGTACTCTTTGCATGTGCAAATTGTGTTTAGTAGTTTCTGTATGCGTACAGGGTGCGGATGCGATTACTCCGATTATAGTATGTTTTTATTATGATGGTACATACTTAATAGTTGTTTGGCATCACATGTGCCTGGGGAGGGTGGGGAGGGGCGAAATTGAGTCCTCGGGTCCTTCCTCCCTTATTAAACTTAGCTCCGGCAACGGTAGCGCTCAGTGCATTCATGGAATACATCCGACAAGGTAATCATCTACATCTTGGTCGAGTGTGGCAAATGTAGATTAGTGTCTTTCGAAAGGAAGTTAGTGTTGCGGCAGGGATTCCGACCCCGTACCCTGCGGTTCACAGTTAGGAGACTATTTTACTAGACCACAGCAGTTCGACATAAATATTTGCAGAGCCTCAGGAATCACAGATTCTTCTTCAAAATACTGGGATTTACAGTATGCCGACGAGCACAAAAGTACAAAATATGAAATTTCCTGCGAACTTGCTTAGTTATATTTCAAAAAATAATTTGTGTATTATTGATGTTCCATTGATTTGCCAACTTGTAAGCAAAATTATGTTATTGTTTGAATATTGAATAAACACCTCTAAGAGGCAAAGAGAAAAATATATAACAGCAGTATTCGTTTCATCTAGCCAAAAGCTATTCTGCAGAACGATTCAAGGAATTCTTAAAAATTATTCTGTCCCAGAAGTAGATGTTTTTGTCGTTGTTGTTATCATCAGCATCGTCATCATCATCATCATCTTCCTCATCATTCGTACTGTGGCGGTCAAGTGTTCTTAAAAACGTTTGTAATTCAAAATATTTATATAATAAAGGTCATAATTTTGAAAATAATCGTAATTCTCAAGAATATAAGGTTTGTAATTTTCGAGATTGTGGAGGCTAGTTCGGCAGTGTCGACTTTACAAACTGGATTCCGTGTTCGGAATTAAGAACTTTCAGACCTTATGTACCATATTCCACTTTTTTTAATTATGGAACCTTTGGAAAGCGAACTTTACACAAAAATGAACCTTTAAAATCATGAATGTTATGTATACATTATTACCATGATCACTAAATGTATATCGTTATCAATGTTATAATTGTCATCATTACTCTCATTATCATCATCATTATTATCCCCATTCTGCTCATCATCATCATTACCAACACCATCATCACCATCATCATCATCATTAACAACACCATCATCATCATCATCACCATCATCATCATCATCACCATCATCACCATCATCATCATCATCATTACCAACACCATCATCATCATCATTACCAACACCATCATCATCATCATCATCACCATCACCATCATTACCAACACCATCATCATCATAATCATCATCATTACCAACACCATCATCATCATCATCATCATCATCATTACCAGCACCATCATCAGCATCATCATCATCATCATTAACAACACCATCATCATCATCATCACTATCATTACCAACACCATCATCATCATCATCATCATCATCATCATCACTATCATTACCAACACCATCATCATCATCATCATCATCATTACATACATGCCAACTGTTCAGATTAAAGAGGAACATTCCTCTTTTTGGGAGAAGATAATTATCATTTTAATGCAGGTGTTCCTCTTCCTGTACAAATTTGTCTGTAGTATTGAATAGGAGAGTTAGGATTGTTCCTCTTTTTTTTTTAAATAGCATAATTTGTACAGATTTCTGATTTTCAAATGTTGGCATGTATGTCATTACCAACACCACCATCATCATCATCATCATCATCATTACCAACACTATCATCATCATCACCATCATTACCAACACCATCATCATCATCATCACCATCATCAGTATCATTTTCAACACTGGACTTGCTATTATCTTCATCACTTTCCTTAGTAAACTCACCAATGTCATCATCATCACCATCGTCACTTTAATCATCATTTAGATCTTTACATCTTTACAATTACTGTAATCGTTAACATCATATCCACCATTTTAATCGCCTTTAGACACAGTAAACAGAGGCACATAATTAAGTTTCAAATTCAAATAAAGAAGTGATTTCACCAATGTACATTTGATGAGTAATTTCATTTATATTTATTTCTTCTCATTATTGGCGGTACATTGAATTTCGGCGCAAATGTAATAAGCTTCAGGAGGAAGAAAACGAGGCTCATTTAATTTCGAATCTTATCTGTATCCCTATCATTCTGATGACAGTACAGCAAAAGTAAACTAGATATTCGTGGAATAAAATATGATCAGGGTCTGGTGAAATAACTTAACAGGTTCGGTCGAGTGTGCTTGTAATATTTCATACCGGCAATGCAATGCCGTTCATTTTAGCCAGAGACCCTACGTTTTATTTCGCGTTTTTCGCATTAGGCTTTTAAAGGCCAATATAAAGTTTCGTCCCCATTACTTTTACATTCACAGGTAAGAAAATAAGAAGATCGTAAATTTTTTACTTATTTAGGACAGCAGTCAAATATGTGGTGGTTGGGGTCGAAATGTTTGATAATTTGTCTAAGAGTCTAAATTTTCGCAAGCTTTGTGGGCACAGAGATTTTAAAAATCTGCTCTAGCAACAGGAATTGGAAAAGCAAAATAAACAATGTTATTATTTCAATTGGCGACACATTGTCCTCACAATGTCTTAACATAGAAACGAAAATGTCCTACAGTAGTTCGAAACGACATTTCACTGCACCTTGTAGATAATTTGGCTGGTAACAGGATGTTGCATAATCGAATGTCAAGAAGAGGAGGAAGAAGAAGAAGAAGAACGAGAACAGGAATAAAAAGATGATGATGTTAAAGAAGCAGAAGGAGACAAAGAAGGGAAGGGAAGGAGAACATTAAGAAGGTGATGATGGCAAAAAAAGAAGAAGGGAACGTAGAAGAGGAGGGAGAAGAAGAAGTATGACAGTTTTTGGGAACAGTGTGTTTTCCATGATTTCCTTCTTTGCGTTATTTTAGAACCTGTTCCAGAAGAGAGTGATCAGAGACAAGATAATCATCAGACTGTAGCTCATCTTCACGTAGGTGGCGCCATTGCAGAAATCCCCAGAACATCTGCACATAATGAGAGAGGGAGCGGCAATATAGAGGGAGGAAGAGAGACGGGGAGATAGAGAGAGAGAGAGAGGGGGAAGAGGGGCGAGGAGCATTTGGGGGGCAAGGGAGAGAGATAGAAACGGGGAGAGAAAGAGCAAGTGAGGAGGGGAAAGGGAATGAAACATTAGTATTGAATTGAATTCGAAAGAATATCTTTATTATTTTATACATAGTTAAAAAACAGTTACAAGGATAATTTCCATTGGGTCCGTGTGAAACAATGTAAATACATCAAATAAACATAACAATCACATTATGGTACATCAAATGACATAATTAAAACTTACACAAAATAACAGGATCAAGATAAATATTTTTAAAAAATAACAATAGAATAGTACTGCCGGAAAAGTATATGAATATATATATATGAATAACAATAATCATGAGTGGCCAAACAAAAGTTCAAATTCAAATTGATAATAGGAATTATTACTAGTTCAAATAAACTACCGGAAATGATATATAAAATTAAAAATAAACAAATGTGGCTGGCCAAGATACCGCATTATTACAATTAATGATATGATAACAATTTGTTTTAAGCCAGTAAAATAACAATAAGGGGGAGGGGGTAGTACTTTTTTGCACTCAACGGGGAGGGGGGGGGGTATGGAACTCTTCTTCTTTTTTTTTTAATTCAACACCCTCCCCCCCCCCCCCCCCTTTATTTTTAGATTGAGCAACAACAAGGGGGCCTTGTATTCTTTTTCAAAAAGTAAAATTAACATTACCATCTTTTTTTAAAAAACCTATTTATTTTGTCCAGGGGAGGGGGCCGGCCCGCGTGCTCTCCCCCCCCCCCCCCGGATCCACCACTGCGCACACCCCTCCACACACATATCCACACGCACCCACGTGCACACAGACCCATACACACATTATACATACACAAATCCAGGAGATGCTTGTTGTTGTTCGTTTGGTATTATAAATGGCTATTAGTCAAATTTGACTATTGTTGCCAATTTCATCGCATCTCTTTCTTTTAATGTCTTGGTAAAATTATTATTTCTTTCTTTCTTTTTCCAATCTCATTTTAATATAATATTAGTCATAGTCTACAAAAAAATAAAAACAAAAAATTATTTCAAATTAAACCACGATCCGCACACAGTTCCAACTCACGCTGGCCCTGTCCTTTCTATGATGCCTTCTTACCAGCCCAGCGAGTTATGTAACGCCGTACGCTTCTCGGTTGATAAACTCAACCTAGGTCACTCTGGCATAGACAAGGGGGCGTCGTGTACCTGTATGTTTAGAGGGTTTATTTATTTATTAGGAGAAAGACCACTGCATAAGCAAAACACTTGTGGGCTTTATTAGTTTATATGAGTTAGTTCATGAGATTATTTATATAGCGCATGACTTTTAACTACTATAATCATTGGGGGTGACATGCTTTCGAGTAATGATATAGCAAGTTTTAATTGCTTTTTTTTTCCCCCAGCAGATTTCATGTATCCTTCTCTCTCTCTCTCCTCTCCACTTCCCTAAAGTTGTGTGTATGTATTAAGATATGTTTTTCGATTGGTCAAATAAATAATGTTAAATTGTTTCAATCATTATTTTTTTTTAAATTAAAAGAGGCCTAAATAAGATATATAGGTCTATACGATCAAAACTTCAAATAAGACACTAATACAGGTGTAGGCATAAGGTTATACACAAAAAACCTATTTTCTCTTCTATTCAGCTCAAATTGATTGCGGTTTCTGTTTTTCATCTCTTTTTGATTTTACTTTTTACATAATCGCTTCGTTCTAAAAACGAAGCGAGAAATTGCCATTTGTACATGAGAGTCACTGTTTCGTAAACATATCATAATGTCCTCTTCCTTGGAAATATTAACTTCTGACATTAACATGGCCCTTTCTATTATATACTTTGGACATTCTATCAAAAAATGTCTGACCGTTTCTAATGTTGGGCAGCTGTCACAGAAACCTGTGGAGTGGATGCCCAAACGCAAGAGGTCTTGGTTGAGTCCAGACACTCCCAGGCGTAGTCGCCTAAGAATAGTTTCAGTTTTTCTTCCCAATTTACAAGAATATTGTGAGATAACATTTGGCTGAAGGATTTTTAATGCCGATTGGGTATCATTCCACCTTTCTTGCCAAAGTAACTTTGAACTGTACAAAATTAAACTTGTCTTTTCAAATAAAGTCAATTTATTATGCATTTCAATTTCCTGAGTTAGAGCTTTTTTTGCGTAGAAGTCTGCCTTTTCATTTCCCACTATCCCACAGTGGCCTGGAATCCATTCCAAAGCGATTTCGATCCCTCTATATTTCAATCGGGTCGTTATTATAAATATTTCTGTGACAAAGGATTCGTCACTAAAATGTTTCAAGGCTGTGAGGGCACTTAAGCAGTCGCTAAAAATGACTGCACCTGTATAGATGTTTGTTTCTTCAATCCATTGAAGGGCAAGAACAATTGCAGCCAACTCGGCTCTATACGATGAGGTAAAATTCGCTAATCTTTTACATTGGTGTACAGAAAAGTGTGGGATATAGAAAGCAGCCGAGCATTGGCTCTTCTCCGGAAACTTAGATCCATCTGTATATATATGCAACTGGTTCGACCATTTTGTATTAATCAATTTTAAGCTTTGTTGCTGTAGTTCATTCGGATGGTCGGCTTTTGAAATCCGAGAGCTCAACTCGGTCGAAACCAGTGGGGGTTCAAAAAGCCATGGCGGAAATGGGGATGGTACGGCAGTTTCTGTCATGAAGTTTTTTATTTTACTCTGGGTTCTATACCCGAAAGGTTTACTAAGAAAGTCTTTGTAATGTATGGTGGCCCTGAAGGGACATCGCGAATAGACTAAATCTTGAAAAATATGCGATAAAATTCACGATATCGTCAATTTTATCGCATATTTTTCACGAAGAAATTCACGAAATTGACGATATCGTGAACTTTATCGTGAACTTTTCACGATGAAATTGACGATATCGTGAATTTTATCGTAAAAAGTTCACGATATAAAGTTCACGATATCGTCAATTTCGTGAATTTCTTCGTGAAAAATATGCGATAAAATTGACGATATCGTGAATTTTATCGCATATTTTTCACGATTTAGTCTATTCGCGATGTCCCTTCAGGGCCACCATAGTAATGTACTGGGAAAATAGTTTGGCCCTTTCTTTCTACTCACATCTATCATAATTCTGTTCAGAAAACCATCGAATAATCTTTACCTGCAAGCTTCTCCGTGTAGCACAGAGTCCCATTCAAGGCTCAGCCCGATCTCGTCGTCTATACCGTCCTGGAAAGGCTGTAGATAGTCCAAGACCTGGTTGGGGTTCGTGGTGCACCCATCGACCGTGTTGCTGGGACTGGCACACCCGAGGTACAGCACGTGGAAGGTACTCCACTCTGTAGTAATAATAATGATACTATTAACAATAATAATAACAATGGCTTCTTATATAGCGCACATGTCCGCCTCGTCGTGACGCTCCTGGCGCTGCCCGATTATTACCAGCTGGCTTTAAAGCGAGTCTGCCATTAAGGCGCTCTAGCATTTCAAGGAATTAATTATTGCCAGGTACCCACTAACATCACCTGGGTTGAGCACAGATAATATTAGGCCTAACAATAATAGTAATGATGGCAATAATAACAATAATATTATTCATAATGACAATATGATATATATGTATATATACATAATGATTATTATCATCGCTATAATCCCAATTAGTATCATTTTTATTATGAATACTATTATCGTTACTACTTTTAATATTAAGAATATTATTATAATTAATTTCTTCTTATCTCATCAAAAACGTTTCTGTTCTCAACATATTAGTTTGTTTAATTAATTATGTCTTACATTGTACTACCCTTATATAACTTGATTACTGTAATATGCTTTGTATTGTATTATTGTATTATTGCAAATTATGTCCTGAAGTATGTTAAACTGTAACTTATGTGTATTTTACTTTCTTTCTTGAATTCTTGCCCACAATACAACTTCCACACAGCTGCGCCAGGAGTGTCATTTTTGACAGACATGGCGCATTATAAATGTTCACTATTATTATTATTATTATTATTAGTTATCATCATTATTGTTGTTGTTGCTTTTATTATTATTATTAATCTCATTATTATTGTTGGTGTTGTTTTTGTTGCTGTTATTATACTTATACTTATTATCATATCTTACCTCCATTGTAGATGAAGCCCACTTCAGCATTCAGCTTCTCGCAGCCTAATGCCCCCGAGCAGTCCAGGGGTTCAAGGGCCTTAGGATGGTAGCAGTTGGCGTAGTCAGGCCATGTTGAGACAGTTGAGTTCGTCGTCACATTATTACGACTCCACTGCTCTGCAAATCGGCTGTCACTCAGAGTGGAGGTAAAGCATGAATAGCAGTGTTGAGTCGACCCTGATTGACAAAAGAAAACAAAAGTATATTTATCTTAAAGCCACACTGTACTACTTGTAGCTACTTGCTCCCTTTATATAGAAAACAATGCCTAATCGGTGACCATTGGTCCCCCATGATCCTCTTTTTCTTATGTTAATTGAGAGTTGAGTTGATGAGATATCCACCTGTCCAGTGACCTTCCAGGGTGGTCTAATCCCTCCTATAAACTAGTACAGAGGAGCTTTAAATTGATGAGTCATATAATCAATCAATCGAGTGTTAAGGACCGTCAGTACTAGTTTGGCTAAGATGGATTAGACCACACAGCGAGATCACTGACAGGTGGCTATTTCTTCAACTCAGCTCTCAAATAACATAAGAAATAGAGGATCATGGGTGACCAACAGGCACCGATTGGGAACGTTTTCTATATAGAGGGAGCAAGTAGCTACAAGTAGGACAGTGGGGCTTTAAATAGATAAACTCATGAATGGATGAATAATGTTTACTAATGATTGAAAGAATGATCAAATGAATGAATGAATGAATGTATGAATATACAATTAAATGAATGAATAGATAAATGAATGAAGAAAGAAATTAATTAATAAAGAAACAAGCAAAGAAATTTTAGAAAAATATTTATATAATAATAATGATTGAAATCATGATCAAAAAGAATGAACGAATGAATGAATGAATGAATAGATAAATTAATAAATGAAGAAACAAGCAAAAAAGATTTTGACACGTTTGTATATAATGTAACCAATTTCGTACACTTCCTTCTCTTTATAATCCTACACTCACCAAAAAAAAACATAGCATTCTATACATTTCTTTTATTTCTAAAATTATCAGTCTCTCCATTTCTGTAATATGCTATCGATAATGCTTACTATCATAAAGTCGGGAGACGACAGAAAGAGATAGAGACAGAGAGGTAGAGAAAGAAAGAGAGAGGGGAATGAGAGTTGGGGGAGAGAGGAGAAAGAAAGAGAGAGAGAGGAGAGAGAGAAAGAGAGAGAGTTATATGTTTGTTTTTAATAATGTTTTTCATGTTTATGTTCTCATGTTCTCATGGTCTATGTTTTATGTAATGTTTGACCAATGTCTAATTTTTATAATAATAATGTAAAAACAAACAAATACACAAACTAGGTGAACACACCCTAACAAGCCAAAAACCTGGCTTTCATTGTATTCACCTTTTACCACTTATCCACTTATGTTTTGTATGTAGTCCGTACCTTGTTTCTCATTTAATGCTATGCCTGTTTGTTTTTGTTTTAATCTTCTTAATCGTTTGATTGAAATGTCATAGTTTTATATGGTTTTATTACACATCGTTTTTGATTGATGTTGGAATTTGGAAATGAATGATTTGATTTGAATTAAAAGAGAGTGAGGGGAGAGAGAAAGAGAGGGAGAGAAAGAGAAAAGAGAAAAAGGGAAAGAAAGAGGAAAGAAGGGAGAAAAAGAAAGAAATGGCGGTATACTATTTCAACCAAAAAAAATCCTTCGAGCAATCGTGTGTAAGGAGTTTCAAGGGAAAAGAAAAGAACATGATTATTTATATACAGACTACAAACTATATAGGCTTGTATATATACAAACCTGTTTGAAACAGAGTGAACAACGCGAGTAGCGCAAGGCTCGAATACATCTTCCTGGTGATCAAAAGGAAAGGGATAACAAAAATATTTTTTTTAAAGTAAGAATATAACAAATACAAGCGACTTGGTAGGATTTTCCTGTTTAAAAGGAAAATATTTCTTTAAAAATCCATCAACCGATGTTATCTAATCTTTTCATGTATCATATCATAAACATATCCCAATATAATTGTTGTAGAATGTTTTTCATTCACGTAATGAAGATTCGGGAGAGAGAGAGAGAGAGAGAGAGAAGGAAGATAAAGACGAGGGAGAGAGAGAGAGAGAGAAACAGAGGGAAGAAATAGAAGAGAGAGAAAAGAACAAAGAGAGACGAGAGGAGAAAGAGAGAAAGAAAGAGAAAAAAGGGAGAAGGTGAAAAGAGAAAAAAAGAGGTCGGTATACTATTTCAACAAAAAAATTGGAACATATACAAGAGCCTTGGTATCATTTTCCTGTTCAAAAGAAAAATAATACAATTGATATTCCTAGAAGTTCGTGATCATTACCCCTTGTTACATATATAATGACAATGGTGATAATGATAATAATAATAATAATAATAATAATAATAATAATAATAATAATAATAATAATAATAATAATAATAATAATAATAATAATAATAATAATGATAATGATAATAATAATAATAATAATGATAATAATAATAATAATAATAATATTAATAATAATAATAATAGTAACAATAATAATGACAATAAAATAATAGTTGTGATATTATAATAGTAATAATAACAATAAAAGTAATAATAATAATGGTCTTGATTTGAAGGGGAAAAAATGAAAAAAATGATTTTAACAATAATATAAATATCCATAAGCCTGCTAGTCGGAGGGTGCTGGGCCTGGAACGATAATAACATTTTCAAATAAATGCCTCTTCTCAAATGCCGTTTGTATGTGATTGATTATCAAACTGCGTAAAAAATTAAAATAAATCTTTTGGAAGCCGATTATTTGTGAAATCACTGAATTGGAAATCCAAGAAAAGGAATTATTCTTTAAATTATTTCTATCGATAATTTAATGAAAGAGCAATCAAGGCAAAAACGGTTTAAAATTACGCATCGCAGTCGTTGGTGTGTTTTCTCATACCCGAAATCTATAACATGATCTAGGTATTGTAAGTTCTCAGGATTTAAAGTTTATCGATGTTAGGGGTATATTTCCACAAAAAGAGTAATACAATTCGGAATAAATGGCTAAATTCCTATTCGATTTAAACGTAACAAGTCAAAAAGATAAGAAGTCAAATTATTTACATCCACCCCCAAGCCCGAATTTCTGCCTTCGATTTATCATTGTTTCAAGCCAAGACAACTTAAACATTCACGTTGATATCGTGTGCTTGGATACAGGAGGGCGGTGACTCATATCAATGTACATGGATGTAGCGCCCTCGTGGCTCTAAATATACTATATACAAATTAATGTTTATTTCTCCCCAACGAAGTAACCAGCTTGTCTTCGGAAAAGTCGGATAGTTGACATTCGATTTCTTTAATTTAAAATAAAGAAAATTTCTTCTTTATCTCTTTCATTTTACGCCAATATGTAAGTACATATATAATTATATACACCACTTACCTTTAGTCAACGATCCGGATAAAACTTGGAGAACACGACTACTTCTTTTAAAAGTTTCAGCCTTTGTGCGTTGGTATATATTGCTGCTAAGCAGATAAAACGAAGTGATTGCAAAAGGCAGCATACCGATCACATGATCTCAGATATGGCATGGCATGGGTACCACCACTTAAGGGGCAACGGCATTACTTTTGAGGAGTGCAAAAGAAAAAAAAATGGTGGATGATATATAGAAAAACTCACACAAATCGACTGCGGGGATGGTGTAGAAGGGGACATGTTTTTCATTTAAGAATCGCTTCATTCTTTATAACCCCTGTCTTTCTCCTTTTCTTTCTCGCTAACTCTTTCTTCTCTCTCTTTATTCAAATATGGGGTGTATACGCCCCCCCCCCCTCTTCTCGCTACACAGTGCTACGCCAGTGGATATCATGTCATTACTTGTTCTGTTTTTAAGGGGGTGTCGCGAGTGTATTCGGTTGACGGCATTTCAAAATATGCTTAACTCTGTCAATATTAGCATTCAAATTCAAGTGATTTTCTTTTCATGCAAATTGTCAAAACAATCTTTTCAAAAAGGTATGAATTCGAATATTGAGCAGATTCTTTGTTAACAAATATTTGTCTTCGTTTTGGAGACTCCTTCGAACTTGTTTGATTTATTGGTCACTGCATACAGCAAATAAATGAGTCTACAAAATACTTTTGCAAAGTCTTTGTTATCACATAATATGGTGAAGTAAAACATATTTCTTTTCTTTAGATATTACTAAAGCGATAGCAAACGTTATTTTCATACTATTGAGGTAATCCCGACTTTGACCCTTTTTTCACGAAATGCCAACGGCTTGATTTGCATTTCGTTTTTGTTCTTCTTTCCGATTCCCTTATTTAAACAAGATGTGTACAATTCCCATCATTTCAGAAAAAAATGGTTTGGTCTGGTGTGGGTCTGGTGTGGGTCTGGTGTCGGTCTGGTGTCTGTCTGGTGTCGGTCTGGTGTGGGTCTGGTGTGGGTCTGGTGTGGGTCTGGTGTCGGTCTGGTGTCGGTCTGGTGTCGGTCTGGTGTCTGTCTGGTGTGGGTGTGGTGTGGGTCTGGTGTGGGTATGGTGTGGGTCTGGTGTCGGTCTGGTGTCGGTCTGATGTGGGTCTGGTGTGGGTCTGGTGTGGGTCTGGTGTGGGTCTGATGTGGGTTTGGTGTCGGTCTGGTGTCGGTCTGGTGTCGTCTGGTGTCGGTCTGGTGTTGGTCTGGTGTGGGTCTGGTGTGGGTCTGGTGTGGGTCTGGTGTGGGTCTGGTGTGGGTCTGGTGTGGGTCTGGTGTCGGTCTGGTGTCGGTCTGTGTCGGTTTCGCTGGTGTGACTAAGGTATAATTACTGATCGGTGTTATATTACGAAAGAAGATGCACTTAGAATTGCTGATAGAAATGCACATGTCCGGATTCTTAATTTTGATTTAAAAATTTCCCAAGACTTTGTAGAACGATTGTAATTCATGATAATAATCATAGTGGCTACTTGTATAGCACAAAGGTCCACCTTTCGGTGCTCATGGCGCTTGGAGAAAAATATATGTAACAAACATAAGAAAGAAAAAAAAAGAAATTCGAATAATTGCAATAATTACAACGAAAAAATCAAATAGGTTTTCACTTATGAATTGAATGTTTCTGTTGATGACAAGGTATTTGTAGAGGGAGATCATTCCAGAGTTTCGGACCCATGGCTGAGAAAGCCCGATCGCCCCCACGCATGTATTCTAGTTATATGAAGCAATAGCGTGCCTGATGACGAGCGAAGACTTCATGTGGGATGTTTACTCCTGATCAAGGATATTTCCCCTGTGGTTGCAAGTTTCAAGTTTTCAACTTCACTTGCTTTCCTCGTTTCTTTTACACGATCGGCTCGTTTGCCACACGCGCACATCTTTAATCTTCTTCTTCTTCTCTTTATTTTTCTTCTCATTATTCTTTCTCGCCGTTTTCTTTTTCAACTTCAGTAAAGTCGGAACGGATATCATGTGATATTTATTCATTCTGAAAATGCTACTGTCCAGATCATAATAACGATTATCAAAAAATCTCCATCACCATCCCTACCGCCATTATATACTTCGTGTCCGTGAGCTTACTTTGTCATCTCCTCGTCTGTCTTGCCATAGAGGCGCCCTCTACGACATAAAACGCAGAATGGGCTCACCCTGGTCACCCAGGCCAATCAGATCAGGGGGGGTGTTTCACAAAGATCCTAAGTTGGACTTAAAAATTATGGAAAGTCATTAGCATCTTTGAAAATATTTTGTAAAAGTTATTTTGAAAGGCATAAATTGTTTATTCAAATCATTCATATTTTCTATCATCAAGGAGATTTCATGTTCTGGATGTGGAATTTATAAAAAGTCTAAAATACTTGAATTTCTGCTTTTGAATATATTTCATTTTAAGACTCCAATGGCTGTCCATAATATCTAAGTCCAACTTAGAGTTAAGTTCTACTTAGGATCTTTGTGAAACACCCCCCAGGACCCGTTTCACAAAGCCTTTTTTTCAGTGGCAAATGACAAAAATCAATGACAAATCTGCTGATGACCAATCAGAAGCAAGGATTTCAGTAGCTTATAACTAAAACTGCCATTTGTCACTGATGACAAGTTTTGTGAAAAAAGCTTGCCATCTAGAACAAACATTAAACAAAAAAGAGGATGATTTGTGGTCTAGTAGATAGGTCACTGACCTACGGATCACAAGGTAATATATGTTGGCCAAACTCCTGCCACGGCGCTAACATCCTTTGGCAGGCCATTAATTGAATATTTGCACCATTCGACTAAGGTGTTGTATAAATTACATGATAAGCAGCGTTGAAAATTAAAGATAAGAGTTAGAAGAATTTACTGGGGAATGAAGATCATCTGAACGCTCTGTTGGCTTTCATAAAAGCCACATATAAATACCACTCATTATAGATATAGGTCTAAACGCCAAAGTTTAATATGTCGTTATTCGCCTTTTATCTCTTGGAGAGGAAGGAAAGGAAGGAAAGGAAAAGTATAGTTTAGCACTGTACAGTTAATCCCTATTATTAATAAAATATTCGCACCCTGTTCCTGGTTGACACCTAAATTATTGCCCGCACCATCGAATGAACGGAAGCTGTGATACCCACTGACTCAATACTCGAGCCAGAGGAAAAGAAACAGCGCCATCTTTTAATCACTGGTGAATAATTCGAAAAAAGTATAGCAAGGCGGAAATAATCTTTTTAGATTGGACAGCCAACAACTAAATCTCTGTGTGGCCATGCCTTGAACCATAATGCATGGCCCTGCAGAGTTGTTTTTTCTGTTCGGGACCGGGGAGAAATGCAATGAATTCTTGATTATTTATTGCATTTTCTTCGTTTTTTGTACTTGTAGGGGCGGCCCCGTACCCTAGCCCCCGCTGCGTACAGTCATGATTCAGTGGCTAAGCAATGGTCTCGTTACTGTGAGGCCCCAGGATCGAAACCGTGTCGATCAGCTATATTAGTGCCCTTGTGTGAGGCATTAATCCTCATTACTGTCAGTTATAAATTAAGGACATAGGTCCCCTATTTAATTAGCACACTAGCACACACATGCTTTAGCAGTCACACAAAACAAACACTCGAACATTGTTATTCAATAAAATTTGAGAATGTATACTATTATATTAATCTATAAGAAATAAATCGTTGTCAAAATCATTCCATAAATTGGGGTAAAATTGATTATTCCACCATTATGACCGACAGTGGATTTACGGCAACATTCCACGATTTGTTACGAGTTGTCTCGGATAACTACGAGCAACTTAAGGGCATTTTACGACCTGTTAACGTGTTGTTACGAATAATTACAAGTTAGTTACGAGTATTTACGAGTCCTTACGATTTTGCAGTTTTATACCTTTCCCCAAATCGTAAACAATACGTTATGTATAATCGTACGGTACTCGTAACTAAACGTAAAGTGCTCGAAATAACTCGTAACGATCAGTAAAGCCATCGTAAAACGACCCGAATGAAAGCGTAAATAAAAATTCGTTGATAATCCGTAAGAAATCGTAAACTAACCTTTTAAAAGCGTTAAATTGTTACGAATCATTTATGGATTCTTGCGAGCAGTTTACGGGTGGTGACGTGTTGTTGCGAGCGGTTTACGAGCGGTTTACGATACTAAGGGATCGTTACGAGCTATTTACGGAAAATCTATCCGTAGATAATCATAAGAAGATTTTCGACATGTCAACAAATTTGCCTCTCCTTTCACGGATTCTTAAGAGTGTCTTCGAGTTGTGACGAGTTATATGAATAACAGGGATTTATTTACGGATGCTTGCGATTGACTACGAGTTGGTGATCCGTAAGGACTCGTAAGACAAATCCATGTATGTGAAGGGTATATAAACTCTCTACAATAATCTATGCACACACTAAATACACCGTGCACTAAACTATGTATTTTGTTCAGACCGTTAATGGCAATTTAATTTACTCTTACAAAGTACAATAATCAGGATCATTTGTTCCATGTCAATACTGTACAATAAATGGCATATAGCACCAGTCGAATAGGCATTGCTAGGCGCGGATCCAGGGGGAGCGGGCCTCCCCCCCCCCCCCCCCGCAAAAAAGAGAGAGAGAGAGAGAGAGAGAGAGAAGGAAAAGAAGGGAAAGAGGAGAGAAAGGGAAAGAAAAAGGAGGAAGAAGAAGAGAAAAGGGGGAAAGATGGAGATCGGAGGGCCGAAAAGGCCTTGCCTCCCAGCTGTTATTCCCCCCCCCCCCATCAAAAATAGAGAGAATGAAGGAAAGGGAAAGAAAAAGAAAAAGAGGAGATAAAGGGAAGGAAAAAAGAGGAAGAAGAAAAGAAAAGAAGGGGAATATCAGTTGCAATTTTTTCCCGCCAACAAGTTAAAGTTCGGGGGGGGGGCAAAAAGGTTTAATCAAAAAAGGCAAAAGAGATTAATCTCACCAATAACGTGAGGATCGGGGGGGGGTGAAAGGCCCTTGCCTTCCCCAGCAAATCTAAAACAGAGAGAAGGAAGGGAAATGAAAGGTAAAGAGGAGAGAAAGGGGACTAAGAGAAAGAAGATAGGTAAGGGAGATCAGTTACGATTTTTTGTGCCAACAAGGTGTAGATCGGGGGGGGGGCACTGGCGTACTGATTGGGGGGGGGAGGGGGCTGGGGTGACAGATGCCCTCCAAATATAATTCAAACGTGGTTTATTTATAATTCGATACCGGTGATTTACAAGTATTGCTGAAATGATTTTCAATTTTCCGAGATTTTTTCCTCAATGTTTAGTAATTTATACTTTTTTATGCGTTTGTTGGAAAATGGCAAATTCATGAAGAAAGAAAGAAAAATAGTGACCTGCCTTTTGTCACAAAATATTAAGGTGTCAAAATTTGTTCATCTGACCGTAAAGTTAAATGCATAAAAAAAACACTTGACTTACGGTAGCTCTGCCCCCTGGACCCCACATAGGGCCCTAAGGCGTAAGCCTGGATGTTAATCTGACAATAAATTAATGTATAAAACCCCTGAGCTTCTGGGGTCTCCGCCTCCTGGACCTCACGCCAATTAATGTCCTGCCACTGTCAGAAATAATGTATCAAAATATGTAAATCTGATCGTAATCAAATGCCTAAAACCCTTGAGCTTCCGGGGCTTCGTCCTTCGACCCCATCAGGGGTCCTAAGGCGAGCCCCTGCATGCTTATCTGACCGTTTTAAATGCATAAACCCCTGAGCTTCTGGGGGCTCCGTCCCGTGGACCCAACACCAATTAGTGACCTGCCAGTGTCACAAATAAGGTATCATTATGCTCGTCTGACCCTAATTAAACGCCTAAACCCCTGAGCTTCCGGGGCTCTGCCCCCTAAACCACACCAATGGCCCTAAGGCGGGCCCCTGGATTCTCATCTGACCGTAATATATTGCTTAAAACCTGTAAGTTACCGGGTGCTCCGCCTCCTGGACAACGAACCAATTTGTGTCCTGCCAGTGCACAAATAAGGTATCAAAATATGCTCATCTGACCCTAATTTATTGCCAAAACCCTTGAGCTTCTGGGGGCTCCGCTCCCTAGACCCCCACGCCAATTCGTGACCTGTCAGTGTCACAACTACGGTATCAAAATATGCTCATCTGACGGTAATTTAATGTATAAAACCCCTGAGCTTCTGGGGCCTCCGCCTCCTGGCCCTGGACCCCACACCAATTTGTGTCCTGCCAGTGTCACAAATAAGGTATCAAAATTTGTTCATCTTACAGTAATTAAATTCCTACGCTCCTCTGAGCTTCTGGGGGCTCCATTCTTGACCCCCGCAACGATCTACCTGATCGTAAATCCCTCCCCCTGGATTTTTTTTCTACCCCCCCCCCCCCCCGTCCCCAAACGTTTTTGCTCATTTCGCCACTGACGGTGTCACCATTACGGACCAATATTTGGCTCGCATGATTTCAAACTTGGGTCCCCCCCCCCCCCTAAGAAATCCTGGATCCGCGCCTGGGCACTGCAAAGGTGTTTTCCCCTCCATTTTCTGTTCATAGCTATTAGGGGTCAAGTACTTGTGCATGCGTATCACAGGATATTCTTATAGGCATACCGCTTTCCATGAGTTAACTAAACCAATCATGCAGCACCCCCCCCCCCTTTCCCCCCCCCCCCCCCCCCCCCCCCCCCATTTCATGCACGCCCAGTCAAAGAGCAGGAAACCATTTATTTAACATTCCAAACACACCAAATAAGTATTCTACAGTGTAGGAGCTTTTTGGTCAAAATACAAATTCCTCCACGCCGTTTAAAACTTGTTGGGACTTTGATACGTTTGTGTAGTAAAGTTTTTCACGGGTGCATCGATTCCAAAATGCTTCATAATGCTTCCAAAAAACATGCAATAAAGCATTAAGTACCCTTAATCTTCATATACATCAGCTGGGGCGTCTATATACACCACCGGCCCGCCCCTACCCCACGGTCCCCACCTCAAACGATCTTATAATAAGATATTAGACCCTACATCAGAGGCGGCCCTCCCGGGGGCAGGGGGGCACAGTGCCCCCCCCCCCACTTTTTCAGATACCCCCAAAATGCCCCTAGTCACATAGGAAAAGTGCCCCTTTTATTTTGTAAGAAGTGCCCCTTTTACATAGGAAAGGTGCCCCTTTTACTTTGACAAGTGCCCCTATTACTTAGTAAAAGTGCCCCTTTCCCCTTTTCACCTCTGACGAGTGGCCTTTTTATTTTTGACACGTGCCCCTTTTCCTTCGACATGTTCCCATTTTCCTTTGCAATAAATGTTCATTTTCCATTCTCATGAATCTTGAAATTATCTTGAATAAGTGCCCTTTTTAATCTCTAGTAAGTGCCTCTTTTCAGGTACGAGAAGTGCCCCTTTTCACTTTTAATAAGTGCCCCCTTCACCTCCGATGATTGCCCTATTCAAAACTGAGAGGTGCTCTTTTTACTTTGACAACTTCCCCTTTTTTCCTTTGTAAGAAGTGCCCCTTCTCCTTTTAATAACTACCCCTTTTTTAACTCGGATGAGCGCACCTTTCATTTTAACATGTGCCCCTCTTATTTTCTAATAAGTGCCCCTTTTCCTTATGATAAGTGCCCCCATTAAAAAGAGAGAGCTCCTTCCCCTTCTCATAACTTCCCCTTTCCCTTTCTAATAAGTGCCCCTTTTCCTTATGATAAGTGCCCCCATTAAAAAGAGAGAGAGCTCCTTCCCCTTCTCATAACTTCCCCTTCCCCTTCTCATAACTGCCCCTTTCAACAAATGCACATTTTCCTTTATTATAAGTGCCCCTTTTACATTTTCATAAGTGCCCCTTTTCATATCTGGTCAGTGCCCCTTTGCAACTCTGATAATTCCCCTTTTAATAATGATACGTGCCCCTTTTCCTTTTTAATAAGGGACATATCCCCTTTTCACCTCTTATAAATGACCCTATTAAAATCTGATGGGTGCCCCTTTTCCGTCAACAAATGCCTATTTCCCATTTTCGTAAACGCCTCCTTTTCATCACTGGTGAGTGCCTCTTTTCAAGTGAAAAAATGCCTCATTTTCACCTCTTATAATTATCCTTTGTACTTATACACGTGCTCCTTTTCTTTTCTAATAAGTGTCTTATCCCGGCCTTTCCATAATTGTCCCCTTTTCATGTAATCATTAAACGTGCCCCTTATTTAAAGCGACTAAGAGCAGTTTCCCCCAAAGTTCGCTCGCTGCGCTCGCTCGCATTTAAAGATTATATAATTATGTTACTTATCAAAGGTCTTTTCAGTCTTCCGTTATGAGAATGTGCTTATAACCCCATCACGATTGGCTTTTTCCCTCTTTATAAGATGTAATTTTTCGCACTGCGACCTCACAGATCTTTAAAAATTTTCTCACTCGCTTCGCTCCCTCGTAAATGCATATTCAGACATCACACCCAACTGTAAAGTTTGATGCTTAAGCGATATCTTGTATGATGTATGAAGAGAAACAAATATTGAAATCATCCCTGATAATGTAATCACAATGTAGGGGTATATACCAATGTCTAAAAATTGTATATTTTCGCTTTGAGATTTCCCACTGTAGGTGCCCTTTTTTCCAGAAAGTGCCCTTTTTTGTTGGTGCCCCCCCCCCCCCCCACTTTGAAAGTCGCTCGGCCGCCCCTGCCTGTCATACAAAGGCTGGATCGCGCCGACCTAGCAATAAATCTTTCCAGTTTGTATACTGTAACTTTGTATTGGCTGTCGGATTGGCTGAGACCACGTAGGCTGCGTCAGCTAGACCTAAACACTTCAAAAGGTCAACGGACTTTGGTAGAGTAATACATCATATTGACACAAAATGATTACATGCAGACATTTTATTACCGGTTCTGGCCTAAAAAAATCGTTGCATATATGTACCCAACCACACATCGGTGAGCACATATTATGGCAACTATGTAGCGCGTTTTGTTGCATGGCTGTGAATGTGTGATTGGCGCTTTCTATGAGCGAGCTTAATAGTTATGTAGTTCCTGCAAGATAAGTGGTCTTTCCATACAAAGTCATGGCGGGAGACACGGTACGGCTGACTTACACTGCGTCCAGGGGACTCGGGGAACCGATTCGACTCGCGTTGGTTGCCTCTGGAATAGATGTAAGTAGAGATTTTAGAGCTTTTTATGGTAGCATGGGCGTATCTCTTGTGTTCGAAACGAAAGTGTTAGAATAAAATTCAGTATTGCACTTAAAAGGTTTCAACAGATTCTTGTTAGACTTGTTACTATTTCGACTTGTGCGTTGCATAATATCATCTCATAGTACAAATTTATCAGACATAGCTGGAGAAGCTACATTATTAATACATTTAATAACCAGACAACAAGTGACCTTGTCGAACAATTCATTTAGAGTTGGCCATTTTAGGCCACCCGAGACCTTTCGCGATGTAAAGTGCCAAGGCTGTCTAGAAATGATATATAAAGCGGCTCTTTTATGAAGTTTATTTAGCATATCGACATTAAATTTCAATCGACTAGGTATACAGTGCAGCAATAAAAAGCATGCGCTAATACATACAGGCGCGTACACAGGGGGGGGGGGGGGGGGGGGGGTTAAACACCCCCCTTTGGGATTTTTATGTGTGTAACCCCCCCCCCCCCTCCAAAAAAAAAAAACAAACACCTAACCCCCCCCCCCACAAAGCTGACCTAAAACAGGTGACCTTACCCCCCCCCCCCCCCCCCACCCCCCAACGGAGCAAAATGTCAAATTTTCAAATTTCGAAACCAAAAAAAAAAAAGCGTCCTCGGCTCTCCATTTTAGGATTTGGAGCGTTGCACATGCTGAAAGACCTATTGTGGTATACATGGATCTACTTTGTCTGGTCCAACGAATTGACAGTGTCGGCCGCATACTTTGTACATGTTGATGTTATGTTGCATGTATAAACTTGATGAAAACTGGATATCCGGCAATCGAGGATTGATATATAAATAGCCTAAAAGTCAGGGCATTATGAATAATAGGAAAGTTGAGCCTGCACCCATCAACTTTTGACCCGTTGTCAAGCGCGTTTGCATTCAGAGAGGCTATGCAGTCATTCGTGTGATGTAGCCACCTGTTGGGCCCCCACATGCTTATGATAAACACAGAGGCAAAATGTTATTGTACATAATTATGATGTACTAGTTTTATCATCACTGCATATTTAAACCCTTCTTGCCGTACCTAAATTATAGGATTTTAGAATGGGGAAATCCTTGTAAGATTAGAATTGTTCGAATATTAATTTTGCAGAAGCGTGCATTAAGAATAATCCATATTGTCTACTTTCGTTCCCACACTAACCATTTATTTTTACAAGACAAAATTCTTAAAATTGAAGATTCGTATTATTGGTATCTGGGTATCTGTATGTTCCAACTAACTAAAAACGAGTTACCTCTCCCGATTTCCTCCATGTTTCAAAAAAAATAACGAGATACATTCAAGACCGTCGAACCACTTCTACACTCTTCGAATGAGAACAGTTTTCGCACAAAATACAATTATTTACACCGATCCAGTATTTTGGAATAACATAGATCCATCTCTTAAACAAAGTACCAGTCTAAACACATTTTTTTAAAGCTGAAAATTCTTCTTTTTTTTAAACACATATATGCATGCATGTATGTGCAGTAGCCGGTCAGCTGCATTATTGACATCGCTATGCATGAATCTCGGTTTGTTTGACGCTCGACTCATTCCCTTTCGTCCTTTTTCGGCTGATCCTTCTTTTTCTAGAGCTTTTGCAATCATTAATTTTCCTTTTCTATTTTTCTTTCTTGTTCGCCTTTCATTTTTTCCTCTCTTTTTTTTATTTTTTCCTCTCTTTTTTATTTTTTATTTTCCCCAAAAATTTCATAATTTCTTTACTACATATTTTTTAAATTTATTGATTTTTTTAAGTATACTTTGTTTTCAAGATATATTATAAAACAGCATCGGAGGAACAAAGACACAAACAAGCTCTGCTCCTAGCTAATTCATGTTTGTTCGTGCCATTACTATTATATTAGTCGTTTCATTGTATATTTTTTGTAATATAATTATTGATTGTATTATGTTTTGCATGAGAAATAAAATAATTTGAATTGTTATTATTCACTTTACCGTGTATTACATGCGTACCTTACTGACACTAACGCAAATTAACATTCACAGCCTGGAATGCTTTTAGATGCTGAAAGTGATTATCATTTTGAGTTCATGTGTTAGGCCAAAAAACAAAAATGAAGTGTTTCTTGTCCCCGCCCGCCTCCTTTTTTGTTTACTATTTACGATAATTATAGAACACAAAAAAGACCCCCCCCCCCAAAAAAAAAAAGACAAAAAGCCTGTGATATGCATTTTGTTTAGATAGGTCCTAAATTGAAACAAATCATTTGTTATGGCATACATTGCATCAGTATACTCATACAGCACAATATCTGTGAATAAATCGGCTTGGCCAGCTCAATTAGCATGACAGCCATCTTGGAAAAAGATTGCAAAACACTGGCAAAATAGTAGATATCATAAGATGATGATGACGTTGATCCTAATCAAATGATTGGTTGAGAGCGTACACGTGACCAGGCGTTTATTTTGCCTAACACGTAATGTTGATAATGACCGGTCATTATCAAATGCTAATGACCGGTCATTAGTATAATCATTTTGTAAAACATCGTTTTATAAAACAAATAAAACATAATCTTATAAAACAAATAATACACATCATTTTGTTCGGGCATTAGTAAAAAAAAAAAAAAAAAAAAAAAAAAAAAAATTACCCACACTCGATACCTTCAAAACAGTCCGGCTATTGCCTCGGGCGTGTTAGACTGTTCCGAAGGTACCTCGTGTGGGTAATTCTTATTAACGCCCTCACTGCTGTGTATTATTTGTATGGTAATGCCCTGCCTCCTCCCATTTTTTAAAGTCCGGACGAGAAACACGTTATTTTAGTTATTTGGCCTTAAAAGTGGCCTAAAAGCTCACTGAAGGTCTGATCGAGTTCCAGAATTATAACAAAACCCAATTGAGATCTCGACCGCTATGGTTTCGAGACCCCAAATCCGTTGTCTGCATGCACAGACTCTAATTTGACATTTTACCACAATTCCCGTAAAGCCTTGAGGAGAGCCTAGCTCTGATAGTCTTTGATATTTATCGGATTTTCACGGGACTTTCCATACTTTCGACTCTAGTTTCAGATAGGAAATGACTTGCTAAAGGTAAGCGAACATTTTGGGCTCATTTTATACATAATTCTGCACCATAAATAAGTTAACAAATCAAAGTAGATTTAAATCTCCCGCCGCACGCGGCGCGGACCATGAACCCCGACGACTCCTCACTTAACGCTATGGCAGATATTGATTCAGGCAACCAAGCCAAAGATTTAGGAATAGAGCTAAAGGACGGATTCCAGACAGTCACGTCTGCAAGTGTTCGAAGAAAAAAAAGAAAGATACGTGAAGGAAGTATCAATGTTGAGAACCTATCACTAAAAGAGGATTCGTCATCAGATAATATGGAACCACAAAACTCAGTATTTCGTAACCAAAATCCAGTAATTCTAATAGCAACTGACCAAGATCTAAAGCTTTTCATTACACCTATTGACAGGGAAAAATCATTAAGAAACGTTAGCATGTTAAAGATCGCAAAATCTATCCAAAACTGTATCGGCTCATCGCCAGAATTTATAAAGTCTACCCGGAACGGAATTCTCGTTAAATGCAAGGATACGAAACAACATAAGAAATTGTCTGATATACAAATCATTGATAACGTACCAGTGAAGGTCAATTTGAAACTTGATTTGAAGAAAGGTGTCATATCAGATATACCGACCGAGATGTCAGAAAAAGAAATAGAAACAGAACTAAAGAGTCAAAAGGTAGTTAACGTGAAAAGAATAGTAAGGAAAAATCGAAAGAGGGAAGAACCTCAAGATGGGAATGTACATGTAGATTTAGTTCCAACTCGGAGTGTAATTGTTTCATTTGAAGCTACAGTACTTCCCCAAGACATCATTCTTTGTTTCCAAAGAATAAAGGTCAAACCATATATACCTTCAAGCCCCAGGTGTTTTAAATGCCAAAGATATGGCCACACCATAGCTATTTGCAAACAGAAACAGAGATGTGTCAGATGTGGAGAGGAGCATAGTTTCGACGATTGCATAAAAAAGGACACTCCCAAATGTGTAAATTGTGGAGGTGAACATTCCGCTGCATATAATGGATGCGAACAAGCACAAAAAGCGCAAGAAGTACAAAAGATAAAAGTGCTGAATAATCTCAGCTATGCTCAAGCTGCTCGCCAATTGAAAGAAGAAAAAGATAATATGCAAGCGCAAGCTCCAATACCATTGGAGCGTAAACTAGCTCCTCACCAACAACATCTAAACACCGCAAATAATCCCCAACCATCTGTTGATCTTGGTTTAAATACAGTAAAGCAAAACCACCCCACCCCCCAAGTCGATAACTCTCATGTGTTTCCGGATCACACCCCAAAGGCAGATCCTCCCTTGCCACAACGCCAAGATAGGCAAACTAGCGAAAAAACAGGGCGACCGTCTTCACAAATCAAGGAAAATTTTATAACTAAAGCAACAAATGAGGAATTGATAACCTTCTTTCTTCAACTAATGATCCAAATTATGAAAGATAAGTCAGAAGGAGAGGTGTTGTCTTTAATTAAGATAGCTGCTGGTCAGCTATTAATGCAAGCGAGTTAATTAAAGGAACTAAGATGGCATTCCGCATCCTACAGTGGAATGCACAGGGATTAAAGGGACACGGGGATGAGTTATTGCTCTACTTAAACTCTATAAAAAGTGAAACCATTCATTTATTATGTATTCAGGAAACATGGTTCCGCGATCACGACAAAATACAAATCGCTAATTACAAATGTTTTGCTAAAAGCAGGAAAACAAGGCGCGGTGGAGGATGTGCCATATATGTACACAACAGTTTAAATTATGATTACCCAATCATAGAAACTGACATCGAAATGCAACAGATTAATTTGTATTTTGACAACACATCCATAACCGTGATAAATTACTATAATCCATGTGAAGACATAATTATGAATAAACTAGATTTCTTGATAAAGGAAATAAAGAATAAACGTAGAATGTTAATATTGGGAGACTTTAACTCTCATAATGTTCAATGGGGCAGTAAAAATACAGATAAAAATGGAAAAGTGATTGAGGAATATTTACTGAAACACAATTTAGTCTTCCTAAATGATGGCTCGGGTACTCGCCTAAACCCAACTACTGGCGAAACCTCATGTTTAGATTTATCATTAGCAACTCCCGCTCTAGCCAGTTACACTAGCTGGAAAGTGCTATCAAACAAATTCGGAAGTGACCATTTTCCAATATACATTGAAATCGACAAAAAAACTCCTAAATCTTGTACGAAAGATGACCTAACTCTAAAACGGTCATTCAAGAAGATAGATTGGCACGAATTCAATAAACTGTGCGATCAACGAATGGACACTGACTCGCTGCTAGACGCAGATGTCAAAACTTTTTACGGAAACTTCATGGAATCTCTAAATAATATCTTAAATGAATTACACACTGTACCCAAAAGAAATAAAAACAAGAATGCGAGATTCAACCCCGTCCCATGGTGGACAGAAAAATGCAAAATAAAGATTAAGGAACGGAACGAATATAAAAATAGGTTATTGAGAGTATGGAATGATGAAAATCTAAAATTATACAAACAAAAGAAGGCCGAAGCCCAAAGGATTATTAGACAGACAAAACGAATGTTTTGGCTGGATTACACTTCAAAACTGAACAGGTTCACTTCAATCTCAGAACTATGGAATTTGATTCGTTGTCTGAAGGGTAATCCAAATAAAACTCATTCTAAGATATCAGCACTAAAAGTAGAATCTAAAGTAATTATAGATGATCAAGAAAAAGCTAACGAATTTGGAAAGCATTTTCTGAAGATCAATAGTAAAACAAAAAAGGGAAATAAAGAACTGCTAGATGAATATAAATCTATTGATTATAAAGGAGAACATGATTCAGTTATCAATGAACCTTTTACTATGATGGAACTCGAAAAAGTACTTAATATAAAAAAGACATCAGCCCCTGGTGAAGATGGCTTGATATATACTGTGTTTCAAAACCTTCCAACCAGGGCTAGGAATTACTCTGTCTTTATAACAGAATATGGTCCTCTGGGACGATTCCGGAACAATGCAAACACGCAATGTTGATACCAATATTAAAACCAAATAAAGACTCCTCCCAACTAACATCCTACCGACCTATCTCATTATTACCTTGCTTTATCAAGATATTAGAAAGTATGGTAAAGGAGAGATTAGAATGGTACATAGAGAAAAACGAAATTTTGAGTAGTATACAACATGGTTTTAGAAAAAAGAGAAGCTCAATAGATAACTTAGTACATTTAGAAAATGAAATTCAGAAATATCTATTTGTGGGTATGAAAACCATAGTCGTATTTATTGATCTGGCCAAAGCCTATGATACTCTCTGGACGAAAGGATTAATCGTCAAGTTACGTAGAATTGGTCTCCAAGGAAACATATTGATTTTTTTGAGAAACTACTTGTTGAACCGTACCTTTCAAGTGCAAATAGGTAATGCCAAATCGGCAATTACGCATCCTGAAAACGGTTTACCCCAGGGTAGCATTTTGAGCTCCCTCCTTTTTAATATAATGATAAGTGACATACCTTTGAGACCAGATATACATAGCTTGATTTATGCAGACGACATCGTAATTTGGGAATCAGGCCATGATGTAAAACAAAATATCCAGAACATACAACAATATCTAAACTCCTTGAACTCATGGCTCAATCCATTTGGACTTATTATGTCGGTAGAGAAAACGACTCCTATCTTATTTTCGAACAATACAAATGATGATAATTACGAGTTATATATAAGAGGTCAAAAGTTGACACCACATAAAGAGCACAAGTATCTCGGCGTCACATTTGACAAACGGATGACTTGGAGACCTCATTTATTAGATATTAGTAAAAGATGTAAAAGAAGGATTAATGTTATCAAAAGTCTAGCATACGCCAAGTGGTCTGGAGATGCTAAAGAACTAGTGATGATATATAAAGCATTAATACTATCAATTATCGACTATGGTTGCGAAGCATACAACTCGGCTACGACAAGCGCAAAAAATATGTTGAACTCAGTTCAGTACCAATCGTTATTTGTTTGTGCAGGCGCTCGGAAAGGTACATCCCTTAAAACGCTGCAAGTCGAACTAGGCGAAATGCCTTTTGATTTAAGGCGAGAAATGTTATCAATTAAACTAAGAAAACGAATCGAGAGTATGCGCAAACACCCTCTGAACGAAGATGTGAAAGATTGTTGGCAATTTAATATTCTTGGAGGTACTAACTCTAGATTAGCTTTTGGACGTAGAACCAAGGATTGTACATTAAAATTCAGTTACATACTAGAAGATCCAATGAAGTATTTTTTCAACACACCCTTTTGGAAAATACTCCCTCCCCATGTGTCATCAGAGCTAAAAGAGGTAATAACGAAAACAGATATCTGTTTTGCCCAAAAACAAGCAGCCCTAGAATTGATAAATTCGAAATGGACAAATTATTTACACATATATACAGATGGATCAAGATCGCCAGATAAAGAATCTGCTGCTGCTGCATTTCATGTACCTTATTATGATGTTTCTCAATCTAAGAGACTGGCTAATTACACATCGTCTTATAGAGCAGAGATGGCCGCAATTGTACTTGCCCTGACATGGCTATTACAACTCCCAGGACTCTACACCGGGGCAGTCATCTTTTCTGATTCTTTGAGTTCACTCCAGGCCATAGAATCTCGTAAAGACGAATCTTTTATTCTTGAAATTTTAACCCTGTGTAGTCAACTAAAATACAAGGGCACCCAGGTCTATTTCGAATGGATTCCCAGTCATTGTGGTCTACAACACAATGAGATAACAGATAAGTTTGCTAAAGCAGGACTAAATAAAAATATAGAAATCAACAACGCTCTTACCAGAGCAGAATCAAATTATGTTATAAAGAAATACTACATAGAGATATGGCAAAAAAGATGGAATGAAACATCATCCCCCCTACGGGAAACGCAAACTCTAGTATCAAAAACATTTGTGTGTTACCTGAACAACAGATATCATGAAACTATTCTTCATCGCCTAAGAATGGGAAACTTAGGTTTAAATAATAATCTTTTTGAGTTGAATCAACATGAGACAGGTCATTGTCCAAACTGTGAGCACCAAAAAGAAACAGTTAAACATTTTTTATGTAAGTGCCCACTCTTTCTTATAGAGAGAGCCATGCTTATAACAGAATCTGGAATAGAAAACGAAGAATTAATCCCAATACTCCTGAAATCAACAGATATTAATCACCAACAGGCTCTGGTTAACTTCGTAGTTAGATCTAAAAGGGTACACCTGTACCCCTACTAACCACCTTGCACCGCACATAATTATTTGAGCCCAATATGTTTCGCTTTTTATAGTGAGTATACATGTACATGAAGAAGAAGAGTGAGAAAGAAGAAAAAAAAAAGAAAAAAAGAAATTAGAAGAGAGAACTGTCTATATTAACGTTTAAAATCTTCATGTATCATGATCTGTTTTTTTTTTATTTTTTGGTTTTCGGTCAAAATTTTGAAGAAACACGATGGAGACGACTAGACATATTGGTGGACGTCGGAGGGCCTAGGCTCAGCATTAGGCTGAGTTGAGAAGCTTGTCACTACGTACCGTGTCCGAGTTGGTCCTTGGGCGTCCTATATAGCCGATAAGCCTTTTGCTCGCCAGCCACTGAATTCTTCATCATTAAATAAAAGTTTAGCTTTTAAAAATCCAATTTATCCAAATCTATATATCAAAAAAAGTAAATCTAATTTTAAAAGGAATAAAAATCCTGAGAGAAGAGGCGTAAATATTCACTTCTGAATGAAAAACGCCTATAAATTAAAACAACAACAACAACAACAACAAATGGCTGTGTCTAAGCGTGGATGGTCTTTGTAAAAAAAAAAGTATATGCAGTATGCTGTAAGCTTAGTCTCATGGTGCATACACTAGACCACGCACAGCTTAAGATCAGGGTGTACTTCCTCTTTTTTTTATTAGAAGTAGACGAGAAACAGATATTGAGAGTGGGAGGAAAATCCGATCTAAAAAATATACTTAAAGTTTACAATTGCAATCGAACAGACGCAAATTGCCAACTTCATGACGTACTTTTTCGACAGCTTTTCTTGTGTTTTAGAATAGCTAAGAGATATCAATTTGAAATTCTACGTAAAGGTATCATGTGGAAAGGTAAATGTTCGATCATTTTGTATCATGATCATCGTCAGGAATACGACTTTTATCGGAGTTTTCTTTCTAGTCCATTATCTTTGTCGTCGATATCGCATCATGTCATGTGCCTTTAGAGCAATGTCAAAGTGTTTTTGATAACTCCTTGTGTAGCCAACGAACTATAATTTGGTCATGGTTTATCCTACTTTGGCATAAAGTAATTTTGTTTTATATAATACTTTCTCTCTCTCTCTCTCTCTCTCTCTCTATATATATATATATATATATATCTCCCTCTCTCTCCCCCTCTCTCTCCCTTTTTCTCTCCATCTCTCTCTCTCTCTCTCTTTTTCTTTTCTTCTCTCTCTCTCTTTTTCTCTCTCTCTATATATATATTCCCCCTCTCTCTCCCTTTTCTTCTCTCTCTCCCTTTTCTTCTCTCTCTCCCTTTTCTTCTCTCTCTCCCTTTTCTTCTCTCTCTCTCTCTCTCTCTCTCGATCTCTATCTCCCTTTTCTTCTCTCTCCTTTCAATATTTATGTTCAGTATACCGAGATCTACCTCCAAACCAGAGAGGACTTCGTCAAGTTAACTGAAGGTAATGAATGAGGAATGGAGGGGGAATATACTTAGCGAAGAAGAGAAGAAGCGAAGATGTGAAGACGAGTTGACGAGAGCAGCTTCGTCAACTCTTTATCAAAACATAACATGTGCCACATTTTATTTACACTGGAGTTAATATCCCAAAGCGTTCAAAATTGTGTAACTGTTTCCTGAGCAAGATTTATCTATATCATTGTTCAAAGGGGTTGTCATGGAGCTAATTTGGCAAAGCCTTTGTGTTGCACAAAGAAATCCTGTCGTCGATCGGTGCGTATTGTTTTGTGCAAAATTGCCCTTGTGGCAATCAAGAGACCGTGCGGAGAGGCAAGGAAGGCAACCAAAGTGTTCATTGAGGTAATAGGGGTTTAATTGAGTGCGCATTAAATCGTTACTGGTAAAACAAAAAATTAGTGTTCCCTTTCCCATAGCTTTACACCGAACCTGCCAAATATATTGTACCCTTTGGGGTTAATACACATAATGGCTCCCTTTATTTTCACTTGCTCCTGCAATTATTACACCTCGGTATGAAGTCCTACACTGTTAAACCGAGTTCATATCCTCGGCCCTGGACAGAACATTAAACCTTAACCTAACCATAACTCTATAATTTTGACTAAAATAAAGCCATGAGCAATTCTTGTTTGTTCATTTGTTTCTTTTGGCGGGGAGAGAAGTAAATCTATGAATACATACATTGATACATGATTAAAGGAATATTTGAATGAATAGATAAATAATGAATAAATGAATAGATAAATAAATAGATACATATTGTAAATGAATGAATGAATACATGAATAAATACATAAATAAATGAATAAATGAATGCATGAATAACTGAATGAATGAATAAATAGAAGAACAAATAGATAGATGAATAAATGAATAGATAAATAAATAAAATAATGATCATTACATTGGATCTTCCTTTTAGGTGGGAAACTGATGTTCAAGCAGATTCCACTCCTGGAGATTGATGGCCTGAATCTGATTGGATCTGAAGCTGTTCTCCGTTACGTGTGTCGCAAAGGAAACCTCGAAGGCAAAACAGATGAAGAGAAAGTGAAGTAAGCAAACCAGAGATTATACGGTGGTGATGAATTGTGTCGAGATTGATGTTGTTGGTGTTGTTATCCTTATTGTCATTAGGAGTTGGAAGTACGGTAGTAGTACATGTATTATTATGATGGTGCTGATGGTGATGCTGGTGGCAGTGCATGGTATTGGATGATGATGATGATGATGATGATGATGATGATGATGATGATGATGATGATGGACAGGTGATATTGGTATTGGTAATGATGATGCTGGTGGCAGTGCATGGTATTGGTAATGATGAGGATGATGATGATGATAATGATGATGATGATGGACAGGTGATATTGGTATTGTTAATGATGGTGATGATGATGATGATGATAATGATGATGATGATGATGATGATGAGGATGATGATGATGATGATGATGATGGTGATGGTGATGATGAGGACGATGATGATGATAATGAGGACGATGATGATGATGATAATGAGGATGATGGTGATGGTGATGATGATGATGATGATGATAATGATGATGATAGTGACGATGATGATGATGATGATGGTGATGATGATGGTATGGTGGTGATGATGATGATGGAAAGGTGACATTGGTATTGGTAATGATAGTCATGGTGATGGTGACGATGATATGGTGGCACTATATACAAATGATGCACAGGTTTGAGTGCGTCGGTAGGGATTGTGTGCACAAGGTACCTTTGAATGGTTTGAACCCACGAGGCGCAGCCGAGTGGGTTTTAGACCAAATTCAAAGGTACCGCGTGCACACAATTCCACCGACCCACGAATTAAACCTGTGCATCATCTGTTTTATAAGATGGCGCCCAAAAAATTGTCAAAAATACAAAATTGTGTTATTTTACAGATTTACCGGATGCATGGCCAAATCATGCTTTCCGGTAATTACCGGAAAGCATGATTTGGCCATAGCCATGCTTTCCGGTAATTACCGGAAAGCATGATTTTTTTTAAAATTTGCATAAATTTGCATAATTTTTAAATTTGCATAATTTTTAAATTTTAGTGCAATGGATGAAAAAAAAATGTAATGACTTACCTTAAACATGAAACTTGTGAAGTCAAGTATGAAAAATCAATGCTAACAACAAAAATGATGAACGCTGAACAGGAAAAAATGATGAACGCTGAACAGGAAAACTGATGAACGCTGAACGTATTTACACTGTCTGTATTACAGTCTAGTTATTGTGAATGTGTACTACACAGTCACTAAAGCTAAAGTTGTGACTGGTGGCACGCATATTGTTCTCTGATGACAGAGACAATGAGAGTGGAGCACGAGGTTGCGGAGTTTGTGCTAATGCCAATGGCATGAGAGGGGTAGTAGGAGGAGGTGGTGCTAGTGCTACGGTAGTAGTAGTAGAAGGAGGTGGTGCTTGTGCTACGGTTGATGTAGCAGGAGCATAGGACATCTGTTTTCCAATTTCACTGCTCATCTCCCGTTTTCGGCCATCACTAGTCTTGCTGTAGATCTTGATGGAACTTTCGCTGCGATGCCCACTCACAGCCATGATGTCCCTTGACTGAAAACCAGCTTTGTCGAGTGACGTGACACACGTTGCACGCAGGCAGTGATTAGTGTAGACTTTACTACATCCGGCAGCGGTGGAGATTTTCTTCATCTTGTTTGAGAGTGTATTGACACCAACCGGGCTGTTGCAGTACCATGGCTCATTTCCATCGTGCGGTTGACTAGCTTTTGGTTTTTGCCAAAACCATTCACAAGATGGATGCAGTTTTGAAACATAAATCTCAAATGACTTCACAGGGCATCGGTCACTGCCTGGAATTTCGTACATATATCCTCCGGTCGTTTCATCGTCATTCTCTCTGTGGTTTTTTGTGAGCTGGTCACGTTTCGTTACATACCGCAGTCCATCTTCATCGGTGAAGATCGTAAAATCAGACACTTTGAAGTTACGTACATTCTCACGACCTCTATTGCAAAAGAAAGTCATTAAATCTAGAAACACTTTGTTTTGCAAGCCTTTTGGGGAGGTGCAATCCAACTCTGAAGAGCTGGATCTTGTTCATGTCAAGCACAGAAATTGAGGCTTTATGTGTGGTGCTTCCCAGCCCCTCTCGCTTCAGTTTCACCAACACAGCCTTAAACATACGTGTGCTCACTGGAAATTGCAATTTGCTACAGATATCCAAAGCATTACGGTTATCCAAAAAGTGGCGTTGTATGCCATAGCGAAGGTATTGAAGAGACTTCTTCGTATATAACTCACCGTCAGTCTTACGGACACTGGCATAGAATGATGATAAAAGTTTGTCCAATTCTGGCGTTGAAATGTCTCCTAAATTGACTTCCTTTATCTGCGCAAACTTTTCCAACTTAGAGAATCCGTACTTTATTGATCTTTTCGTGCTGGCCGCATCGGAATCACCCAACAATTTAGCTAATTCTTCCTCCGACAGAAGCTGGAAAGTCAAATCGCCGCCGAGATTCGCCATCTTGAGCCGCAGATATCAGCTGGCTATCAGCTGACGTTCGAAATGTAAACAATCTAGATATCGGTGCTATCGATTCCGATATCGCATATATCGTGTTGATATCGCGTGCATCCAGTAAAATTAATTAAACGGTAATTGACCAATCAGATTGCAGGGATTCTTCCACCCATCTTATAATTGGTAATGACGACGATTATGATGACAGTGAAGTAGTGTACAGTATTTATCGTGGTGGTGAGGCTGATGGTGCTGGCATGGTAGGGAGATATTAACGATGGGGAGGGAAAAGATTGTGATAATGAAGGCAAGGGCATTTCAGTTTTTACAGACATCGCTACTACTGCTGTAGGCCTAATGGATTTCCATATGCGTCATCTTTTGCTGAAGACGTACGTCAGGTTCCTGTACCCAAGCATCATCACGCGCGTCATGCAGTTTGTGATGCATTGTGGGACATGGTTGTCGACACATCGGGATATTGTGAGCAGCAGGTGGCAGAAGTGCTAGCATAATATACCCTGCCTTTAAGGCATCAACATTGCGATAATGAGGAGGATGAAGTGGTGATTAAATCTGAAAACCGTTGATGAGACGTTTGCATTTTTCTCTCGAAATTCTGTTTTGCCATTTTTGTTCTACTCCAAACCCTCTTAATATATCATTCTCTCCCCTTCTTCATTACCCCCCCCCCCACTCCCCCTCTCTCTCTCCCTCTCTCCCCCCCCCCCCCCCCCCCCCCCCTCTCTCTCTCTCTGTCTATTTTCTCTGTGTTTGATTTCATGACGCCCTCCCAACTATGATCTCCTTTACGCTTTAATCAGAATCGACATGCTAGCAATGGGGGCAAAAGACATGGTCCTCAATACCATCATGTATTCCAGGTTTCACGAACTCCTCATTTCCAAGGAGAAAGCCGAAGAAGACATCGAAACCGCCATCAAAGAGTGCCGGAACCGATATCTGCCTGTTTTCGAGAAAGTAAATCAATATTTATAAAAAGAATAACAATGTCTTGATTAATCAAAACATTTCCAACTTCACTTCCACACCAAAAGAAAAAACAAGAAATATCGTTAAAATACTTTCAAACTCTTTCGACTTGGACAGATAACACACACATAAAATAATTGAGTATTTTTATCCTCTTCCGACTAGGACAGATAACACATATAATTAATTACATAACGAAGTCCCCATCCTCTCCCCCTTCTCTCTTCTCCCCCTCTCTTTCACTTTCTTTACTCTCCCCTTCTCCGTGCTCTCTCTGTCTCTCTTCCAATCTCTGAATTATTATCTATTGTTTTTCTTTTCCCTCCCTCCACCACTCTCTGCCTCTCTATACGTCTCCTTCACTACATGTCTCTATGAATTATGTCTCAGCACATCCCACCCACTTCGCTCCTCTCCCACCCCCATTCCCCCTCTCCCACCCCACTCCCCACTCCTCCCTCTCTCTCTCTTTCTCTATCTATCTATCTATCCTCTCTGTCTCTCTCTTCTTCTTCTTTCGTTCTCTCTCTCGTCTTCACCCTACTGTTTCTCCATCTTTCCTTCCGACTCTCTCTCTCTCTCTCCTCCCTTTTCCCTCCATCCCTTCATATAGGTATTGTCGGAGAGCAAGTCTGGTTTCTTCGTAGGTGATTCCATGACGATGGCCGACATCATGCTCTTCGATGCACTGAGCTGTGTGAATGAGATACCCGAACTCAAAGCTATCGGTCTCCTTGACGAGTACCCGCTCTGCGTGGTAGGTGACTTGTCCTCGGTTACATTTCGTTTTTCCGAAGGTTCATAATTCCGAAAGTTCATAAGTCGGGAGTTTCGTTCTTTCTGAGGTTCATAATCTCGAACGCTTCCGGAGTTTCATGATTTCGTGTCCTCTTGATAACGAAGGGATAACAAAAAATGTCTATAGTCCGAAGTTTTGCATTTCCGAAAATGAGGTGTTTACTTGTCAAGAAATTGTGATGAGTTGGAAAAATTATTTTTCTACTTCTCCTTCTTCTTCTTCTTCTTCTTCTTCTTCTTCTTCTTCTTCTTCTTTTTCTTCTTCTTCTTCTCCTCCTTCTTCCTCTTCTTTTTCTTCGTCTTCCGACGCCGGTCGTCTCTTTCCCCCCTCAAGTTTGCCCATCAGACTTCTTTTACCAGTAAAATTAAACAAATTTAACACCCCCAATTTTTACCCCCGCCCCCTCTCAAAATCTTGGATCCGCGCCTACCTGAGTCTGTTGAGTTTTTAAATATTACACTTTATGGGATTCTATGATATTCTCGAGATGAAATATCGCTTAAATGTAACTAGTTTGTTGTTACTCTTTTCTGTAATGCATATCAATATTAGTCTTGTCGTTAATTGTTTATCATCATCATCATCATCATCATCATTATCATCATCTTCTTCTTTATAATCATCATCATCACCGACCATTCCTCTTCTTCTTCTCCTACTTCTTCTTCTGCTTACTATTATCATTATAATCATTATCATTATTATTATTATTATTATTATTATTATTATTATTATTAATATTATCATTATAATTATTGTTGTTTTCTTCAGGCCTTCATTGATCACTTCTCAAAGCAGCCGAGAATCGTGGACTACCTTGCCAGCGAGAGACGACACACCGTTATTGATCTGGAACAAGCTGCCTACGCATCCCGCCTTTTTGGCTGGCTCCCATCTTAAAGCCTATCTGCACTTTAGTTTGGCCAGCAGAGATTAGACCCTCCTGCGTGGTTATCTCATTAAATCTCGTAAAATCAGCTCTCAATTAACATTGAGATTATGTGAAAGATTACGTTAAAGTAGAAGAGAGGTATAGGGGAAATTAAATTTATTTTTTATTATAAGTTATTAAGTTTATTCAACTGGGGGGGGGGCAAACACTTAATGAAAATTTGTTTAAAACAATGTATATATCGACTTCACCATATCTGCGATGAACAAGGGTTATTAAAAAATGCATTTTTGATCGCCATGGGGCTAAGTAAGGAAGAAATTACAAAAGTTATCAAAATCTATTCAAATAATTCCTCACGAAAGGAAAAAGAATGTTCAGTATGCAAGAAAGTCCATCCTGTGTGGCCTTAGTTTAAAATTAATATTTGCAAAGAAAGTTTTTGAATTTGAAGAAATAACTGCAAAGATGGTGTATAAAAGTCAAGCAAGAAGAATGCAGAAATCAGCTCAGCATTTCATAACTTAATTGAACTTTATAATTTTACAACTAAAGAAATGGAAAAGATTTGTGTTCAACCAAGGTTGTGCACATTAAACAGTAAACTGAGAAAAATTCAGTTTAAACTTGTGCATAGAATATTTTGTACAAACAATCATTTGCATAGATTTAAATTTCGTACAAACAATTTTTGTTCGTATTACAATTTTTTTGAGGAAAGCTATCAACATGTATTTTTTTAATGTAATCTAAAAAAAACAGTCTGGGGAAAGTTGTGCTGATAAACTCAATTTACCAATTCTAAAGAAACTGTCTTAGTAAGAAGTTTATATTGGAATAAATGGGAATAATATGAAAACGGAGCAATTACTAAACCACATTCTGATTTTGATTAAATTGATGATTTTTAATAGCAGAGAAAGATAAATTTCTCGAAAATAGGAAATAGGAAAAAATAACTTGAAATGAAAAGGGATACTCTTTCAATTCACTTACAAAAATGGGAGGCCTTGGATGGTGTTTTGTGATATAATTGAACTTGAAAGAAGCAACTCCCAGCCCTCTATCCCAACAAGTCTTTCTTTGCTATGTTTTTATGTTTGTTTGTGTTTTGTTCTTTTCCATCTTTATTTCCCTGTCAGGGGATTTTTTTTCTCTTTTCAGAGGTAGTCCTGTATGAGTTTTTTAAACTTCTTTTGACAGACTGTAATATTTAATGTATAAGCATTTACTTGTTTTGTTTACTTCAAAAGATAAAGCGAATTTGAAAGAAAAAAAAGTAACATAATCATATCATATATGAATGCGAGTGAGTGTAGCAAGCGAGCTTTGGGGGAAATTGCTCTTATGCAGAGATGACACTACATTAAAAGCAGATTCCCGATTTCTATAAAAACAAGTGAGGGCGCTATTGCAAAACAGTACTTCGAGTGCGATCAGTCATCTAAACCCAATCAATCATCATTGAATGGTACTGACATCACTGAAATCATTTTGGTAATTTTGACCGTGTTTGATGGTTCAAGCATAGGCTTACGCCTTTGAACTTCTGGAAAAGGATATGCTAACACCTTTATTTCTACAATTATACATAGAAATATTTAGATGTTTGGGCTCAATCATTCATTATTAAACTGTCATTTCAGGGTTTTTTTCTTCAAAAATGTGAGTATAAGAGAGAGAGAGTAATTTCTCAAAGTAGGCCTACATTATATTTTGCCCCAGTTAGATTCTTGATTAGATGCCCTTTTCCAAGGCATCAAACTTTGCACCTAATTGCCCCGGCCCTCATAATTATATACGTATAATACTGTTGATTGTGCACGATATGCAGAAAAACAAATAGAACAATTATTAAGTAAATCCATAATATAAGACACATTAAAAGACCATTCAGCTGTGTGATGATATTTCCTTGCCCGTTCAAATAGTATATCGAGCATCCATGTGTGGCGAACTGGTCATGGGACTTTTTGAACTTCAGTCAGGCGAACGGTGCGGAAATGAAAAAAATGAAGAATTTACTTGCATGATTACATTGGCAGATGACTAATTAGATTGAACCAATTAAAAGTGACATATAGATAGTTGCTCTGAAATGCCGATACTAATCTCAATTGTGTTTATGTATTTTGACACTCTCTCTCTCTCTCTCTCTCTCTCTTTCTCTTTCCCTCTTTCTCTATCTGTCTCTCTCTCTGTCTTTCTGTCTCTTTTTGTCTCTCTCTGTCTCCCTCTCTCCCTCTCCCTCTCTACACCTCCCTTTCCATATAAAATTACCTCCCTCTCTGCCTCTTCGCCTAGACAAGTTTTTCCTTCTAAACTGTATATCTGTCTATCTTTCTGTCTCCATGTCATTGTCGTAATAATTTCACTTTCGTTATCTTCCTCTGTTACATTTATCATCGTTGCTTCCTCGCACCGGATTTCTTTAATGAATGGGTTATAGTATAGGGACCTACGGTAAAAAGAGTCCGAGTTTATTTCGACTATTTATCAAAGACCTGTCAAAAGAAAATCGAGAAATGGGAGAGAGAAAGAGAGAGAGAGAGGGAGAGAGAGAGAGGGGGAGAGGGAGAGAGGGGGAGAGAGAGAGGGGGAGAGAGAGAAAGAGAGAGAGAGGGAACAAGGGGGAGAGAGAAGGGAGAGAGGGGGATAGAGAGGGAGAGAGAGAACAAGGGGGAGAGAGAGGGGGAGAGAGAGAAGGGAGAGAGGAAGAGAGAGAGAGAGAGAGAGAGAGAGAAGTGGATAGGGTGTGCGTATGGGGATGTGGGCATTGATGGAAACAAAATGTAGGCAATATCATCATATTTCTTTAAACCGTATGGATGCACACACACACATTATACTTGTGAAATGTGAGTATGATAGGTCAGGTCAGGATAGCTGCCTCCTGTCTAGAATGTCCCTGGTTATAGTTTTATATTTTAAGCAATTCTAATTTTATACAGAATGACGACAATAATAAGGATTTTTTTTTTTTTTTTTTTTTTTTTTTTTTTTTTTTGGTAGCGACATGCAAAGCGTGTACAGCACCGGTTTAACGAGTAAACCCGACCCGACCCGACCCCCCTCTACCTTAGCAGAGGCACACGGGATGATGATGAGGTAACACACAGTATCAAACAGATATGGAGTGAAGTGAAATCTTTCCATCTTCGTAATCATTATATTACAATATTTCAATTCAATTCAAATCTGTATTCAACCAATAAAAAGCAATTTACAATGACAATTATACAATATAATGGTCTAGTTAGGAACCCTTAGAAGCAGAATTTTACTTGTACTGCTTGCAAGAAGACCAGCATAGAAGTATAGGTCTACTTGAATATATACATTTACATGTACATCATATAGCCATATCACTGGTTTGAAACAAAGTGACACTGTTGTCAAGATACTTATATGTTTATAAAACGGTGTTTAAACAAAAATATCAGAAAATACCATTATGATCATAAAAACATTCGAGAATTTCTTATTTCTAACATTGGTTTTGAAACCTAAGAGATAAGTGCTTCTTCAACATGCATAGTTTTAAATAAAAAGCTTTCTTATTAAAAGTGCCTCGGTCAAACAGACAAACCGACACCAAATTAACCCCGGACTGACCTTTTATTAACAACCATTCTAGGTTAGTATGAAGTGGGTCCCACATGTGTGACTGGGGGAATACCCGAAACTAAGACAGATAAGACTAATCAAACTTATGTCTATATGCAGCAACCTTGGTAATGCTTAAGCTATTAAAACGAAATAAAGGAAATAAATGGACTTCTTGGTTGAGTTACTACGTGATCTCCATTAATCTAACCAAATTAACAAACAGTCAATCAAATACCGGGATCAAATGCCAGGTTTATTACCGCAATCGAAGATGGGTCAGTCATGAGAGACGGGATTAGAGTATATAAGGGAGGATGGGTTGGGCTTGGAAGAACAAGAGCTAAGGCGATCAACGAGCATCAATCAACTTTACTCACCAAGCCAGCCAATTTCACAAAATCGTAAGTACTTATTGCTGCACCTTACAACATTTTGCTGTCTCTCAATGTTAGAAAATGATTATTGCTGATATAAATCGTAACTTCATAATTTTTCTATAATTTATTTCATTTCTGTGAAGTATATAGCTGTTTTATTGCAACAGTTATTTTAACAATATTTTTGAAGAGCTTTTTTCAAGATCTAAAAATACAATATGCAAACTTACGTTATGGATTGTATCGTTTTATAAGTTTGTATCCCACTTGTGACATTACGTAGCGGCTGCTCCTCTCTTCATTTTAAAAGCATGTTTAATATTTTGTATTTGATCAATATCATAAGAGGACATCAAACTGGACTGTCCCCTTTTCAATTTTGCCTAGTTAAAACGTAATCCCATCCCTGCCCTTGTTTTCTTCAGTGATAGCATTACTTTAATTATAAAATTAGTGTGCCCTCTGAGAAAGTTGACACACCTATCCTAATTCTATGTTTTAAAAGGTTGTAAAATTAATACCTTTTTTGATAAGAGATTCAGGTGGTGCTTATAGTAGATTTCCCGACACTAGAAGTATCATGTATACCTTCATCATCTAGTGCCGTCCCTTCGGAAGGGGTTGGCGGCCATGTACCTCCATCGCTTTCCCTCATGTACCCTTGTTCTAACCTCTCCGTAGTATAGCTTATCATCTTCCTTTTGACTTACAATACCCATGTTAAACACTTGTTTGTTTATAGATTGGTCAGCCTTAAAACCCAAGAACAACAACAACTTGTATTTGTTTTCAGTTTTGTGTATTTTGTATTTTTTTAAAGAAACCCAGCGACATGTCAAAGATAACCCTTTCTTGTTATGATCTGGAGATTTTTCTTATAGTGGTCGTTTTCCAGCTCTCTAAAATCAAACCTAGTCGCGAGTATCCACCAAGAACTATTTTTTCATTCCTTGACAGACAATGGTTTCCAAGATCCTGATCGCTTTCATGGCCATGCTGGTGGTCGCCATGGCCTTCGAGTTCGAAGAGACCGATGAGGATTTCGATGTCGCGGAATTCATGAAGAGGGACCCCGTCATGCAAGACTACCAACTAGCTGTGAAGAGGGGACAGTCCATGAAGAAATACAAACGTGAGTTATTTATTGTTAAAGGTTGATTTAAAAAAAAAGCTGCGTAATTTGTGTATGAAATATTACTTATTATATT